TCTCAATAATTATGATCTTTAGAAAATATTTTTTCCTTCAATAATGAACTATCAAAAAAGCTGAATTCACTAGATGTGTGACCATGATTTTGTACGTCCCTTGAGAGACCATTGACAGTAAATGGTGAGAGCAAACAGTGGCATGAATGGCCTGTCATAGTTAAATCCAACTTTGTGAAACACTCCCCATGTATAATGTTTATCACATCCTTTAGTTGTTCAATGATCAGGTGACAGGTGCCTTTAGGGGTCTACAATTATTGATTACCTTTAAACATGATCTCAAAGTATTTGGAGAAATCAAACTTTGGCAATTTCAAAAGCCCTGTCCATTACCTCTAAATGCATGACCCATGACCTTTACAACTATTATGCAATCCGAATATGATTTTCACAGGCAATACAAAAAGGCCAAATATAATTGATTCCGAGTCTTGTCTGTTTGTTGAAGAAAGTATGATTAAAAATAATCAATCAAACACAAATTGGCAGCGCTGTGGGACGCCCTCTCACATTTTGCTCTATACAGAACATGTCAATTTTCTTAGTCGTTGAATAAGAAAGGATATGTTAAATGCTTGCTCCGAAAGGATTGAACAGTATCAGAATATTAAAGAGAAAGTAGGTATATTACAATATAACAATAGGAAATATAGAGTGGTTTATACAAGACTGTATATCTTTTCTTACATTTAGTCATTTATTTTTTCTTGTCTTGGGGTGGAACATCCTAGCACCAAAAGATGATTTCTAACAGCAAAAGAACATTGTGTATGTGACGGTGTGTGTGTGGGGGGGGGGGCGGTGTGTGTGGGTCGGTGTGTGTTGGGGGCGATGGGTGTGTGTGTGTGTGTGTGTGTGTGTGTGTGTGTGTGTGTGTGTATGGATGTGTGTTGTTGATGTTAATGTTGTTGAGATGACAACCATTCTCTCTTCACCTTCACTTGTTTCTATCCTTGTGTTCTTTTATTCCCTCTCAGGTCCTAAAACCACCGTGCTGAGCTCAAGCGGACTTTCTACCAACTAATCACTAATTGCGGATGAAGTGACACTGAAAAAATGCCGTACTCATAACTTTAAGACATTAACATAAAACCAATCTTAATAAAGTGCAATGAATTATGACGCCATCGTCTGGCATTATCAAATCAAAGTCATTTATGTTTTGTCTGTATCAGAATTGCTTGACAGTTCTGATCGTTAACGTAATACTGACTTCAATAAAGTTCGCTTGTACCTCAATCGAATCAGCATTATTTACAGTGTGATTTTTGTCTTTTTATGTTCCTACATATCCACTAATCCTGAGGGGTTGCCCTAAAGAAAATACCCTCACATCACTTGGGGTGCCTTTTCACACACAAATTAGCACATCCATACCAACTGAGCACCCCAGCAACGACTGTTTTTCGATGGGGAATGCAGGCACCCCCGGTATCCTATAGCTCTCGTGATCAAACAATCGTATGGGGATGACTTTGGTGTTAATAATGTTGATGAAGGAAGCGGCCATGTTGAACATTGATGATGTTGTGGTTGCCGGTGGTGGTGAAGATGATGATGAAGAAGAAGATGATGATGATGATTGTGATGATGATGGTGATGAAAAAGATGGTGGTGAAAAAGATGATGATGTTGGTGATGAAGACGATTATGATGATTGCGATACTGATAAGTGATGATGATAATGTTGATAATATATAGTGATGATGATGATGATGACGATGATGATTATGATTATGATGATGATGGCGATAATGATAATGATGATGCTGGTGGTAGTGATAAGTCCACCAACAATATCAGAATATCAAAATGATCCTATATTATACCATCTTCCAATAGTATACCACGTCAGCTCGAAATCGTGATACATGATGTAGCATAGTTTCCTTCATTATACGGCCACCAAAATATTATTATATGGAACGCCCTCCAGTTTTAAGTCCTTACCCCCAGTTTTCTTAACCTTATTAAGCAAAGACCATGGGCGGCGATCCAGTGAGGGGCGGGGGACACGGACATTTTGCACAACTGGAGGGCCCAAGAGTGCAGCGTTAAGACTAATAAAAATACAAAAATCTTCTCGCTCGGTCGCTACGCTCACTCACATAATATCCTTCAAAATGTACGAGTAAATATTGTAGAAAATCTTTATTCCTTTGGCATCACCGTGTTACCAATCGAGTACAGATTTTCCCTCGCATTTCCCCCCCCCCCCCCCCCGGTTATGAAAAGACATCGCCGTCCCTGCTAAAGACACACCTCTTCAATAACCGAGTTTTATTTATTTATTTTTTGTTGTTGTTGTCTTGTTTATCCTTTTTTTATAATCTTAATAGGTCTATGTTGAGTGCACTTAGCAATATTTCAATGGATTTTGCGATACATAAAGATTTGTTTTTAAAAATTATGTACATAATGAATATCATGAAGCTACCGTAAATTATCCAGGCGACTGTATATGCATTTGTGTTTTTTCTTTGTAAAGAAGCTTATTTGCTTTGGAAAGAGCTTGAAAAGAATGTTAACAAATATTTCATGTCTAATTTTCAATTCAAACCATTTCACTTCATGGTTTCGACTTCGGTTTAAAAAAAAAGGAAAATGATATTGATATAAATTTTAATTATGCAATTTTTAAAATTATCAAATGATAGTACGGAAGCGAAAAACAACATTTATAGAAAAGTCGCTTTAGATGACAGTTGCATATAACGGAAAACAAAATAGCATAAAACTGAAAAGTCAGGCGGATTTTCTAGTGTAGTACCAGCCCCAGCTATCTTCATCATTCATAAACGTCATCATACTTCAATTAAATTCCAATCATGGAATTGGTGTGTTGTTGAAACCCATACTATGACCTGAATATCAGACCAAGGACTCCTTGATCAAACAAAACGTGCTTGAATCCTTTGGGCCGCTATGGCTATTCAAATATTTATTTCCATATTTGACAATCAACATCGTTTCATAATTATTTGTTGGCATCTGTGTATAACAATTACACAATAGCATCGCGGAATAGTGAATCTACACAAAGGAAATCCAAATTTAACCCCCAATCTCAAGAAGTTATTGAGGTATTCTGTTGTGATCTTTTTAGGTCAAGTTAATATCCAAATGTGATTGCAGGTGACGGAGATTTTTTTTTAAAGCAGATGTTTCTGCATTTATTAATAAATAAAATACCCCCCCCCCCAAAAAAAAAAAATAAAAAAATAATAATAATAAATAAATACAAAAATAAAATAATAAAAAAAAAAAAAAAAAAAAAAAATTATTTAAAAACAGGTAAAAAATAAATAAATGAACAAAATAACAATAATATATCATATAATTGATTTACATAAAGAATGACAACTGAAACACACACACATAAAAATGCATATATATATAATTGAAAACTTAAAAGTATGGAGGTAAGTCAAAGAATCAAGATAAATGCAGAGACCAATTATTATTAAAAGCATGAATGTTTGAGTCGATAGCATGTTCATGTTTTTTCTCCCTCGAAAGACATATACTTGCCTGGAAATATTGGGTTGACCAATAGGCCGTTTTCGTAATGTAATTTAATTGAATGCATAACCTATGTTAGGTGCCTCGATCGTTATATACAAATTATTTCATTCACCTGTTAGGAATAATTGCATTTCAATAGTCAGAATGCGAATTGCATATATTACGTGTTGTTAGGTAAGGCAATCCGTAATATTTGTCCTACCTATAGCAACATCTAATCTACGCAATTTGCATTATCGAAATACATTCGTAGCAACTAACAGGTGAATAAGTTTTTAACAAGGCCCTTAAAAACGACTTATGTATTAAACTTGATTGCATTACGAAAATAGCCAGCTATTATTAGAACTTTCAAAGTGTTATGTGCATTCGTCACTTTTTGCCATGTTGCACATAATTCATGTTGCCCTGTATTTTGGTTTCCTTTTTCTAACTTGATTCTTCTATGTGCCCTAATTTTGATGTTGAGTGACTTTATAGTGCCCGTTATTTCAGAAAAGTTGAAGTTTGTGTCACTTTTATTGAGAGCATTTAAATTTATTAAAAAAAGTGATGATGGGCTAGCCGGTAGTCTGGGGATATAAGATGAAAAGGGAAAAATCACACAAAACACTATAGAGAAACGGATGAACACAGAGAGAGGGAGAGAGAATTGAAGGAAATATCGGTTTCTCGAGTTGACGGTCTCGTTGACTGTCGGTCTAATGACCTCCTGAAACGGGAAAAAGGGCCAAGAGACCGTCAATTTTGGCCACCCATAGGCCAGAGGTAACGGGGGGGGGGGGGATATCGCAAAATATTCCTCAGATGTGGACAAAGTATCATTTTCTCTTTAACTACTATATTCTCATCAATCAAAATGAACGATCTCGTCAATTCATACTTTGAACTACAAGATTTTGTTCCAACTGGCCTGGATTTGATTTGTTCTAAAAAGTAGTCCCAAGTTTTAAAATTTTGTTATAATAATATTTTGTTCAAAATACTAAGGTACCAACCATTGTTTATATCACATTTTGTCATTCTATAAACGTATGTATATATTTTTTTAGAGCAACTTTTGCTTCAGATTAGCATTCTCGTACTTATTAATAATTTAGAAGTAGGTCTAGTTAGCTTTTCCCCCCAAAATGTCTGAAAACACACACTACAGTATTGCGTAATTTCTTCCTGTTTGTACGAGCAGAGTTCACTTGCTAGTCTTGTCAATATTCTCTTACGACTTAAAGACTGGTTTCCTTCCAAAATTCATAAATAGGACCCAAAACGAAGCAAAATTAAATGTTTTGATTTGTTTTCATTTTTCAATTTGAAATAAACATATATATTGATTTCGGAATAAAACCTGAAAAAATAGTAGTTTAGCCATTATTTCGAAGTACCGAGTCTGTGCAGAGCGCCTAGTTCAGCGTTTTCGTTGTGCGATGCGTTTGCATGGTGCATGCTAGCATGCATCTCCCTAGCCCTGCGCGTATTGGCATTGTCCTTTTGCCTTCTCGTACCGTTTACATGCACAATCCGGTGACTTGGTCACACGAAGAAACGGAGGGATTTGAACCTTTACAGACGATCCACAATGTCGATCAGTAGCCAGCTTGTAACATGGGCTTTTGCCAATCCAATCCTTTTGGCATTTTGCCTCTTTGGAGCTCTATTGGCCATTTTTGTGGTAGTACTTGTGTCAAAATTGAAACCCGGTCCCAACCCTTTTGCTGAGGACTGTGCCCGCCCTCCAGCCCCGATGGTTGCCGACAGCTCCGCTCGGGACAAAGTTATCAAGCAAGGTAAATTTTAGGTCGTTGCTTATCTCGCTTATCTGGCCGTTTGTTTGTGGATTTCGTCTTTCTTAGTGTCAGTAGTATTTGATTTTTAAGTCAGGTTATCTTGTGTCTTGAATTATAAATTTGGGAGCAACTTTGAAACATTCCCCCACAAAAGTCGTAGATCTACATCGTCATCAACTAGATCGATCTAGGCCTATGTTAAACTAAGTGCAAGATGTAGAATTTAGATCTAGACTGAAATACTGTCTCTTTTGTTTGTTAGCCTCTGATTTGGGTAGAGTTGGCTCCTCTCTTACCCAGAAGCCGGCCATAGGGTCACCTGTCAGAAGTTGGTGGTAGTCACGTTATGCCAAAAGTGCCACCAAACTTTGGACTCAAATGTCTTTTTAGCAGATTCATATCCGATGCATTCCATTTGTACTTGAAAATTAGGCCTAGATCTAGAAGTAGTAGGTATATAATTATAGGCCAAAAAATTTACATCGGTTCCACTTACCTGCTTGACTGTATGATGCATTTAGATGTCTTTTTCAGCATTTTGTTGGTCGAAGTTGCATTTTGTATTGAAATTCTGGAAGCTGTATTTTAAACTGTTACTGCGCATGAAGGTCTTGAAGGATGATGACATCTTCCATTGACAGTAACAGTTTAAACTATGGCTGCAAGAATTTATTTGTATACTAGTTCTAAATTTTTTCAGTTTTCCATTCAATTATTTTTGAGTTGTATTTTCATCGGATAAGGTCTTTAATGAAAATTATATCTATTTTCTTTCCAATCATAATTTTTGCTAGATAAAGAAAGACTGAGGGCAAACTGTTTAGTTTTTACTCTAATACCACAAAAAAGCGGCTAGTTAATCCCCCGTGTGTATGCAGCAACTTAGGGTTACCTAGAGATACATGTACTGTCTTCGTATGAGGAAGGTTGACAAATGTCAGTTTAATAAAAGAATTCTACATACCAGATGGTCATTTCTGTCTACATAGCAATATTTTCTAGATTGATACATGTACATTAGATGATGCCTGTGCACACGCCAGGCAGGTATCATACCTTGGATATCATGCCTTGGAAGTAGGCATAAAGTTATACAAAACTTATTTGCCCCTCGGTGTCTGCTAGTGGGTTACTCTTGAATTTGGCGTTGTGCAGTTATGGATGGACTGTTGAATAGTTCATCAGGATTAAACTTGTCCTTCTTCAGTGACCAGTACTCGTCAAGATTTGATTTGAAAGAATTGAGTGATGGACTTTCTGCTACATATGATGGGAGACCATTCCATTCATTTACTACTCTCTGTGAAAAAGAGCTCTGCCTCAATTTAGATTTTACATGTTTCTTTTGTAGTATGAACTGGTGACCTCTTGTTACTGTGACAGTGGTACGATGAAAGAAATTAGTTGACTGGAGGTCGTTGATTCCATGCATTATCTTATAGACCTGTAGCATGTCGCTTCTATGACGTCTGTATGATAATGAAATAATTTAGTCTACCGATGATAAATACATGGTAGGTGAATGACTCTTGAAAGTCAAATCAAAGGTAGGAAGTGTGTGTGTGTGTTTAGGTTTTACAGACGAACATCAATCAGATAATCAGAGGCACTTAAAGCTGTAATATAAACTTGTACGGACTTTGATCCAATGAGAGGTTTAAATCTATACAGTGATACGTGAGAGGGGATGTAGATGGGCTTATATGAGTTGTTAGGATCAATGAGCAGCAACAAGAAGCCTACATGTAGATAACCTGCATTGTATCACAAGCACCATGCATGTGTGAGCAAACATTTTTTTTTTTAATTGTGGTAAAGTATCGGTCTGGTGAAAAAATCAAGAAGAAAAGATGGTTCCAAGCAGTGGTGTTCACTTGGAAAATGTCATTTTATTTTGATGTGCTATATTTCCAGAGGATACAGGATGATTTTCCTTAAAGCTTATCTGCCGTAGTTTACAGGAGGGATTAGACCGCTCTGCAAGGTCACTGGACAGGTGGTTATCTCATCAACTCGGCTCTCAGTTAACATAAGAAAAAGAGGATCATGGGGGACCAATGGTCACCGATTAGGCATTGTTTGTTATATAGAGGGCGCAAGTAGCTACCGGTAGTGCAGTGGGCCTTTAATCTAAGGACTAGTTCAGAATTGTAGGAGTAATTTTTTTAAATTTCCAAACGTTTTGGGAAGAAGTGAAGTGAAGTACTATTTCTCAGAAATGCAGGGAGTTTGTTTCATAGGCATGAGGGCAATGCATTACCTGTAACAAGATTCAAAGCCAGCCTGTTTTCAGGATTTGGGACTGAGATACATGTAGGAAGGAGCTGATGTACAGAGTAGATCGAACTGAATGTAAATCTCTGTCGCTGAAAGAGTGAGCAGATGTATAGAGAAGTGTGGTAGACAAAAATGTCCAAGTTTGAAAAATTATCCAGTATTGTATTCTTGTACATGTTTATATAGTAGGCTAACTGGAAGCCAGTGTAACAATAGAATAGCATGGGACTATTTCGGCTTTTGACATAGTAGCCGAGGATACTTACAATTATATTTAGGTAATTTACAATAAGAGAAAGTTATCTAACCAGTTAATGCTGTTCTTTTTCCTCTTTTGCCACTGTACTTTTTCTGCTGAATAAGTACATTTTTAGAACTTTGTTCTTTGTTATAGTGAGCAAGCCCAGTCAACCAAATCTAATCTTTTCTTTTTATTGACTTTCTGTATACAGGTATTTTGAAGTACCTTGTCCACTGCTGGTTTGCCATTATCTGGAAAAGAAGAAGAAAAAATATAGGAAAGAAAGAAATTAGCTAACTATAAGATTTAAAGTCCACCCTAAAATATAGTTGGTTTAAAAGAGAAAAAACAGAAAACATATATGGAAGCACAATGAAGGGTTGATCTGGTATAAGATAGAAAAATTATAAATATTTAAAGTTGTAATCGCTCAAATGTAAATTTTACACATCTTTTGAACATCTCTTTTATTTGCTACATGTATGTACTAAAATTTTCAGAACTTTCCAGTTGCTGGACTGATCATGATGGACTAGGGTTCTTTCAACAACAACAATACCAATGATAATAATAAAACCCTATGCATTTTTTGGGAGGTCAAAGTAAACCTGGAGCGATTGCTGCAGGTGCAAATGTCAGGTCAGCATGGTCACCCTCAGAAGGTGCCACAAGTCTGAGATCTGGATGCCATCATGAGGGGGGGGGGGGGGGGGGGGGTTATTGCAGTGTAGATGTTGCACACATACAGGTACATGTACATGGGCTTGAAATCCTGTGGTTTGTTTGCATTACTTACTGCATGACTGTAAAGTGCATTGAAGTATTGATTTGCAAGTTGTATAAATATTATAAGCAGTATTATTATTATCTCTGTAACACACAGGTTTCACCCCACAGAAGGTGTCAATGATTTGGATGCAGTCGTGATAGGGAGGGTTATTGCAGTGTAGGTGTTGCATGTACATACATGTACATGGGCAGGATGGGCTTGAAATCCAGTGGTCACTGGTCAGTGTACATTACTTACTGCGTGACTGAAAAGTACAAATATTAATATAATGCACTGTATCAATAATAACCATTATTATTATTATCTCTTGGAACACACAGGTTTCACCCCACAGAAGGTGCCCAAGGATCTGGATGCCATCGTGGTCGGGAGTGGTATTGGAGGTCTGGCCATTGCAGCGATCTTGGCTAAGGTGGGAAAGAAGGTCCTGGTACTAGAACAACACGACCAGGCCGGAGGATGCTGTCATACCTTTGTGGAGAAGGGCTATGAGTTTGATGTGGGTAGGTACATGTTTGTCAATTTTTGTAGATATAACAACAATATACAGCAATTCCATGCACTGTTCCCCCTACGACAAATGCTATTTATCTGTATATATTTCATCCATTTCAGAGAATCATAATGTTTTTAATTACAGACTAACTTTTCCTTGTATTCAATACAGAACCTCAGTGATGTTCAAAGTACAATGGGTGTTTATTTGTTTTAGCAGTTATTTTTAAATGTCATTTCGAAATGACTTGCATCTTTTGGATATTAATGCACATGACTCCTTCTCTATTCTGTGGAGGTGTCATGGTATAGTGGTTCATTCACTTAACTTTCAATCCAAGGATTCAGGGTTCAAATCCCAGCCTGGCACGAAGGTCCCTTGGCAAGACATTAATCCATATTTGGCACCCTCCCTTCAGGTGTAAATGGGTACCTGATCCACCAAAACATTACATATTTGGCTGCTCGACTATGACTGGTGTCATCTTGAAGCACCAGGAGTATCATGGCCTGATGAACATGTTAGCTATATAAGAAGCTACCATTATTGTTATAATAATAATACATGAGATTTATATAGCGCCATTATCCATTTTAATTAAATGCTCAAGGCGCTTCGAAATATTAGGGAACACATTACATCATGACAAAGAATTGTGTACATTTACATAGGAAAGAAAATGAAAAAATGAATGAATGTCTGTCTTCAAAATGCGAAATTGAACAAATGGGATTTAAAGTTGCTCTTAAAAGACATTGGAGAGTCAGAGTTCTTCAGCTCCTATGGAAGTGAATTTCACAGGGCTGGTCCGGCATGAGCAAAAGCTCGTTCCCCCCAAGATTTCTTTGAAAGCGGGATGTGTAGAAGACCAGAGTTGGAGGATTGGAGGGTATGAGTGGGTTGGTAGAGGTGAACTAAAGACTGTTTGTATTCAGGAGCTGTTCTGTTCATGATTTGATTTGATTATTATTCCAACATTTCTCAGGCATACATTACATCGGTGAGATGGCACAGAGCACAATCACACGGCTCTACATAGACCAACTGACAGAGGGCCAACTCCTCTGGGACCCCATCGACAAGAACTTTGACACGGTGGTCATCGGCGAGGGCGAGAACAAGAAGTTATTTCCAATGCAATCGGGGAGCAAGCAATGGTTTCGGGAATCTCTGATGAAGATGTTTCCCGAGGAAGAGGCAGCCATCGAAAAGTTCATCTATTATATGAAGGTACAGTGGAACTTGCTTCAGTGACTCCCTGTATAAAAGGAATACCTGTCTATAAAGACCACCTGTATAGAAAGCCCACTGTCTTTAAAGACCATCTGGAAGACAAGAATACCTGTCTGCAAAAACCATCTGTATGACAAGAATACCTGTGTTTAAAGACCACCTGTATAGAAAGCCCACTGTCTGTAAAGACCATCTGTAAGACAAGAATACCTGTCTACAAAAACCATCTGATGACAAGAATACCTGTGTATAAAGACCACTTGTATAGAAAGCCCACTGTCTGTAAAGACCATCTGTAAGACAAGAAAACCTGTCTATAAAAACCATTTGTAAGACAAGAATTTGAGTTTCCTTTGGAAGATTATGGCGGCGTCCATGTGCTGCCCTCTATATACTCAAGCTTGAGCATCTTTAAACTCTTTCCTAATGTAGGGAAATATATGCAGACAGTTTTCTTGCTAAAGATTCTTCCTATAGTGTAACATGCCATATTCTCATATGACCGGTAATCTTTATGCTTTTTATAGTTTCTCCAGAGTTTTTTAATTTTCTAACTAGAGCTATATGTAAGTTTGGTAGAGCTGTTCTGCAGTTTACTATAACGCTTTTGAAACTTTGGCATTTCCAAATGTAGGAGCAGAGAAAACACATGCAGACGGCTTTCTTGTTTGAGATCTTCCCAATGAGAATCTGCCATCTTCTCATACTTATCTTTATGCATTTTCTAGTTGTTTTTTTATAAGTTAAATTCAGCTGTTTTTTTAAATAGTCTAGTAGAGCTGTTCTGTAGTTGATTAGAGCTCTTTTGAAGCTTTTCACAACTAAATTTGCTCTTCGTTCCTATTCATTATAACAAACAAAAACAAAGATCTTTTTTCGCATTTCCAAATGTAGGAGCAGAGAAAACACATGCAGACGGCTTTCTTGTTTAAGATCCTCCCAATGAGAATCTGCCAGCTGTTGATCTCCACAGGCATGGCCAGTGCCATGACCAAGTACTTCAAGTATTCTCAGATCTCTCTGCAGCGTTTCCTCGACGGTGTGACAGAGAACAACGACCTGAAAGCAGTGCTTTCTTACTGTTTTGGAGATTATGGTGAGTTATGCAGTATCAGGGGAGTGTTTCACAAAGACTAAGATCAACTTTAAGTTGGACTTAACTACGGCAGGCTGTTTATGCCACTAGTTCCTCTTACCATTCCTGGCATTGGTTTCTCAAGGGATGTACAAATCACGGTCACAAATCTACAGAATTTATTTTTGTTCATTATTGTAGGAAAACAAAAAAATTTAACAATCATAATTGAGATACCAATGGTGAGAGCACCCAGTGGCATGAATGGCCCGCCATAGTTAAGTCCAACTTAAAGTCGATCTTAGTCTTTGTGAAACACTCCCCTGGTCGTATTCAGATATGACGTGGCAACCATGGCGGCGTCTTTATTTTATGAAGACGTAAAGCGTTGTACACATCACATTTTTGTTTATTATAACACTGAGCTCAGTGAATATGCACAGAAAAATAAGTCATTTTGTCTTTGGGATGTACATGTATGAAAACACCGAAACACAATGTATCACTACTGTTACGTGTGTACTTATTTACTGATTAGAGGTACACCCTTTCGATGTTAATAGTCAGACCAGGGCCTGTTGCATAAAACTTACTGTTGATGGTAACTTTGCCATCAATGGTTAATACCATGGAAACCTTGATTTTGATTGGCTGTTGAACCCTGTTACCATGGTAGTTACCATTGTAGGCAAAGTTACCCAGATGGGAACAAGACTATACGGATGGTGATGATTGTGTGGAATTTCTTATAAATTGTCTCTCTAATAATGCTGTCTCAGATTTCAGTGTTGATCCCATTGCAGTAGAATTGATAAACAATTGAAGTTATTTCATTAACTTGTCAAAATGTTGAATAGCGCTAATGGTTCGAGTCCCGCCACAGCACTAATGTCCTTTTGGCAAGATATTAAGCTATATTTGCCACTCTCCACTCGGGTGTTACATGGGTACCGGTAGGAAGGAACTCCTTGAATGCTGTGAGCGCCGAAATCGGGTGCCTAGCAGAGTCGGGGTAATAGTTGGAGCGCCTTGAGCACCATGCATGGTGGATATGTGCGCTTTGTATGTTTAATATTATTATTATTATTAAAATTCTTGCTTCTCGATTTATTTGCCTGTCAGGAACCCTTCCTGAGGATGCTAGCCTCATGATGCACACCCTTCTCATGAACCACTACGTGTATGGTGGCTTCTACCCAAGGGGCGGGGCCAGCGAGATCGCATACCACATCGTACCCGTCATCGAGAAGGCTGGGGGTAGGGTCCTGGTCAGGGCTCCCGTCTCGGAGATCCTCATCGACAGAGATGGTGCAGCATGCGGTTAGTTGAAATTGGACATGCATGAATGAAGGAAAGAAGGAAGAAAAGTGATTAGATGAATGAGGGAGAGGGTGAATGAATGAATGAGTGGGTGGGTGTGTGAGTGAGTGAGTGAATGAATGAATGAATGAATGAATGAATGAATGAATGAGTGAATTGATAAATGAATGAATGAGTGAAAACATGGAAGTATGCATGCAGTCTTAAACTGAGGCCCTACTCAACATCGTACTCAACATCGAGAAGGCTAGGGGTAGGGTCCTGGTAAGGGCTCCTGTCCCAGAGATTCTCATTGACAGTGATGGTGCAGCATGCGGTGAGTTGGAATTGGGCATGACCATTAGATGAATGAGTGTGTGAGTGAGTGAGTGAGTGAGCGAGCGAGTGAGTGAGTGAGCGAGTGAGTGAATGAATGAATGAGTGAATAAATGAATGAGTGAGTGAGTGAATAAATGAATGAATGAGTGAATGAATGAATGAGTGAGAGTGAGTGAGTGAGTGAGTGAGTGAATGAATGAATGAGTGAATAAATGAATGAGTGAGTGAGTGAGTGAATGAGTGAATAAATGAATGAGTGAATAAATGAATGAGTGAGTGAGAGTGAGTGAGTGAGTGAGTGAGTGAATGAATGAATGAGTGAATAAATGAATGAGTGAGTGAGTGAGTGAATGAGTGAATGAATGAATGAGTGAATAAATGAATGAGTGAGTGAGTGAGTGAATGAGTGAATAAATGAATGAGTGAATAAATGAATGAGTGAGTGAGAGTGAGTGAGTGAGTGAGTGAGTGAATGAATGAATGAGTGAATAAATGAATGAGTGAGTGAGAGTGAGTGAGTGAGTGAATGAATGAATGAGTGAATAAATGAATGAGTGAGTGAGTGAGTGAGTGAATGAATGAATGAATGAATAAATGAATGAGTGAGTGAGAGTGAGTGAGTGAGTGAGTGAGTGAGTGAGTGAATGAATGAATGAATGAATGAAAACATGGAAGAATGCATGCAGTCTTAAACTGAGGCCCTACTTAACATCATACTCAACATCGAGAAGGCTGGGGATAGGGTCCTGGTAAGGGCCCCTGTCTTGAGATCCTCATTGACATTATTTTTCTGGGCGTGTAGGTGTTCGCGTTGCCAGGACAACAGGAGATGTTGACATCCATGCTCCTCTCATCATCTCAGATGCTGGATTAGTGAACACGTACCAGAAATTGCTCCCTCTAGAGATCGTTAAGAAACATGGTAAGTTTGCTTCATCTCTTTGTCCGTCTATCTCTCTCTCTCTCTTGGAAACATTAATTAGACGATAACCAGCTTAAAGATCTACAATGACCGAGTTGTGCGTCAATTTTAAAAAAGGAACATTGTGAAGTATTGCAAGCTTCATACTCTCTTGTGATATAAAATCACCACAGAAAATGTATCTTGAAACTGTAAAAGAATATTGGCTTTCAGGATGATTTTCTCATAATCTTTATTTAATCAACAGGGACTAATAACCAAAGGAAAGCAATCATTTGTATTACATTAGAAGACATTAAGCATGAACAAAATATATAAGACAGTGAGATAATAAACAATTTAATATGAAGGAAATATGATTTTATCCTAAGACCCGTATGAAAGTTAATTTTGAAAATTCCATATGTGCCAAATCTCTTATAAGTGCAATCACTAGGCTTATAGCAAGTAGCCTTACCTTTTACATTTTTATATTTCAATTTTTGTATTCAGAATCGTGACATCTCTTTACATAAATAATATGTAAAGCTGATATTTGCAACAATGAATACTAGCATTATTGTGTCCCAAACACACAGAGCCAAACAATCGCTGGTTGTTACTTACAAGCAGATACATGCTTTCTGAACAGTTAAGTAAAGCAATCATCATCAAACAAAATTTCATCATCATCAAACAAATTATGTTGATCATCACCGCCCAACTGCACTACTTATAGCTACTTACTGCGCCCTCTATATAGCAAACAATGTCTTATCGGTGACCGTTGGTCCCCCATGGTCCCCTTTTTCTTATGTTAATTGAGAGCTGATTTGATGAGATAACCACCTGCCAGTGACCATGCAGGGAGGTCTAATCCCTCCTGGCCAATCTAGTGCAGACAGGCTTTAAAGCATCAATTCTTTTCCATCTCTTTAGATCTGATGGACAAATTCAAGGGAACCCGCACCGCGTTGGCCGGCTTCTCTGTCTTCGTGGGTCTGAAGGGATCAACCAAGGACCTGAACCTCCCTGCAAGACAGTACTGGTCGTTCATCAACAACGACCTGAACGGCATCACCAAGGCTTATGCTAATCTGTCTGCGGAAGAGGCTGCCAAGTCCAAGGTCCCGCTCCTCTTCATCAGCTTCCCGTCGGCCAAGGACTCCACTTGGGATGAGAGATACCCAGGTGAGTAGGTTACCCATGCAGGACAGGGGGTGTTTCACAAAACTTGTCATCAGTGACAAATAACAGTTTTTGTTATAAGCTACTGAAATCCTGGCTTCTGATTGGTTGTCAGCAAATTTGTCACTGGTTTTTGTCCTTTGTCATTGAAAAAAAGGCTTTGTGAAATGGGTCCCTGGATTCCAGTGGTGAATTTCCGTTTGGTCTACAACCAGCCTGTCTACTATCCACATGGTCTAACAATCTTTTTGTTTACTTATCATTTGGTCTAATGGCCATTTAGGTTAATAGTCATTTGGTCTAATTTCCATATAGTCTAATCTCCAATTAGTTTAATAAATATTTAGTCTAATTCCCAGTTTGTCTACTGGTAATGCCCATGCAGTTCTATGGTATTATAGGACACACTAAATGGCAATACTGCTAGTATGGTGCAAATTCCTTGTTAAACAAATTATCCATATTTCTTGAATGCCCTCACAGGAAAGTCTGCCTGCACCCTGGTGACCTTAGCAAACTGGGAGTGGTTTGAGGAATGGGAGAAGACCAGGATGCATCATAGAGGTGATGAGTACGATGCTATCAAGAAGGGGATCGCTGATAAGATGTGGGAGCGTGTCCTGGAGCTCTTCCCACAGTTGGAGGATAAGGTCAGTGTTCTTATTTGATGTCACTTATGCATGTACTATCATATGGGAAAAGCACGCTTTTCATTCAAGTATATGGGAAGAGCCCTCTTTCGAGATTGCATACAAGTCCAGCGCTGCCACTATGTTTTGTATAGATGTTGGATGACACTAGTAAATCACAATTACTATACATCCCACCCCTGCCTCCATGTTATGTTAAGATGTTGGATGACACTAGTAAATCACAATTACTATACATCCCACCCCTGCCACCATGTTATGTTAAGATGTTGGATGACACTAGTAAATCACAATTACTATGCATCCCACCGCTGCCACCATGTTATGTTAAGATGTTGGATGACACTAGTAAATCACAATTACTATGCATTCCACCGCTGCCACCATGTTATGTAAAGATGTTGGATGACACTAGTATTTAAAATCACAATTACTATGCATCCCACCCCTGCCACCATGTTATGTACAGATGTTGGATGACACTAGTAAATCACAATTACTATACATCCCACAGCTGCCACCCTGTCATGTAAAGATGTTGGATGACACTAGTAAATCACAATTACTATACATCCCACAGCTGCCACCCTGTCATGTAAAGATGTTGGATGACACTAGTAAATCACAATTACTATGCATCCCACCCCTGCCACCATGTTATGTAAAGATGTTGGATGACACTAGTAAATCACAATTACTATACATCCCACAGCTGCCACCCTGTCATGTAAAGATGTTGGATGACACTAGTAAATCACAATTACTATACATCCCACTGCTGCTACCATGTGATGTAAAAATATTGGGTGACACAAGTAAATCACAATTACTATACATCCCAACACTTTAGAGGGGCTTTTAAGGAGTACAACATGTGAGAACTTAAATTGTGACAAATGAAGTTATTTTTGTTTTCTTTGCATCTAGGTTGATTACTTTGAAGCTGGTTCTCCTTTGAGCAACAGGTACTACCTTGGTGCCCCTGCTGGTGAGATGTATGGACTGGACCACAACAAGGAGAGGTTCACCGCAGAGACCTGGACTAATCTCAGGCCCGAGACTCCCATTCCCAACCTATATCTTACAGGTAAGAACGTGACTTAGGTATTCTTGGTCTTAAGCCCCACTGCACTACTTATAGCTGCTTGCACCCTCTGTATATCAAATGATGCCTAATAGGTGCCCGTTGGTCCCCCATGATCCTCTTTTTCCTATGTTAATTGAGAGCTGATTTGATGAGATAACCACCTGTCAGTGACCTTGCAGGGAGGTCTAACTCCCCTGGCCAAACTAGTACAGACAGGCTTTAAAGAATAAAGACCTATTTTGTCTTCTCTGTGTCAAGACCTGAACCAACCTTAGGCCCGAGACCTCCATCCCCATCCTATATCTTGCACTTATGAACGAGGACAAGATCTAGGCTGTAGTCTTTAAGGGGACTTTTTTGTGAGACCTGGACCACTTTCGAACCCTCGGACCCATCCCCCATCCCGATCTCGATTTTGCGGGTAAAACTTGGAACAGGGAGAGCATTGGGGCCATGCCTATTGGATTGGGTTTTGGTCTATATTAAAGAAGGAGTTCTATTCTTTGTCAAAGCCTGTCTGCACTAGGGATCATGAGGGACCAATGGGTACCGCTTAGGCATTGTTTGCTATATAGAGGGCGCAAATAGATTTAAGTAGTGCAGACAGGCTTTAAGACCTGGCTGCTCTCATTCCTGAAACCATCATCGCGGATCCCTTACTCATGTGTAAGAAAAGGGTCTGAATCTATAGGCCTAGGCTCTAGTCCTTAAGGAGAGACTATGTTTTCGAGACTTGGACCACTTCTAAACCCTCAGATCACTATCCTACATGTATATCTCTATGATACAAAAGAGAATGGAAATGGATGTAATGTAGATTTAGTCCTGGGGGGTGTTTCACAAAGACTAAGATCGACTTAAAGTTGGAATTATCTATGGCAAGCCGTTCATGCCACTGTTTACTCCCACTATTTACTGGCATTGGTGTCTCAAAGGATGTACAAATCATGGTCACACATCTACAGAATTGAGTTTTTTTTTATTGTTCATTATTGAAGGAAAAAATATCTAAAGATCATAATCGAGAGACCAGTAATGAGAGCAATCAGTGGCATGAATGGCCTGCCATAGTTAAGTCCAACTTCGAGTCAATCTTAGTCTTTGTGAAACACCCCCCAGGAGATTCTCTACAGAGACAACCACTTTTATATTCTTTATACTCTAACGCAATTGAAGATTTACAGAAAATAGAGCCTAGGTTATATTATTTAAAATATGAATTATTTTGTACATTTATAAAAAACATATTTGTCGGTATTAATGCCAGAACTTTATACAGTGACAATACATTTTCATTTGATAGATTACAATGAGAATTGTGGACACCTATGAAAAACAGCATTAGTGATGATAAGGGTGTTCCATCCCATGATTGGTAAATAAATAAATAAAAAGAGATACAAATTTATTTGCTTCCCCCCCATACAGGGCAAGACATCATGACGTGTGGCTTTGCAGGCGCTCTCTACGCCGGGTTGATGTGCGGCACCAAGATCCTAAACCGCAACCTGATGGGTGATCTATCCACTCTCAAAGCCAAGAAGAAGAAGGGCGAGTAATCTTCAAGAAGGTAGCCAAGATAATATCTCTGTTAAGTGGGCTATCTTAAAGCCCCACTGCACTACTTATAGCTACTTGCGCCCTCTTTATAGAAAACAATGCCTAATCGGTGACCATTGGTCCCCCATGATCCCCTTTTATGTTAATTGAGAGCTGATTTGATGAGATAACCACCTGTCAGTGACCTTGCAGGGTGGTATAATCCCTCATGGCCAAACTAGTGCAGTGGTGCAGGTGGCCCGTGTGTTAAGCCTATGGCAATAAATGAATTCAGTAGTCAGCGGGTTTATGACGGGACGCTCAAAGTGTCCTTTGGCCCTTGATATCAAATATGAAATGCAAATAGAAAGAATTGGGGTACACAAATACATGTTGTGGATAAGACTTTGCAAATAGTGAAGGTTAAGTGATCTTCACAAATCCAAGAAAGATTTCCCTTTTAATCAGTCTCTACTAGGCTCAATATTTTGATAGGCCTTTGCAAAAATACCAGTTTTTATGAATAAATAGAATTATTGTACAAATTCATGTTTTGGCTAAAGCTTGCATGTTTTGGCTAAAGCTTGCATGTTAGTTGTAAGGCCAAGTCAGGATAGTGATCATTTCTTTCCAGGATATCTTATGATTTATTTTTTTGGCAATAATTCAAAATCAAAGAAAGAAAAGAGCGACAGAACAAAAAAATTAACAATTGGACAAGCCTTTTTGTTTTCTTCTTAATGTGAATGCAAAGCGCAATCTTCACTTTAGGATGAGAGTGCATTTAATTGTTGCTTGAAAACATGATTACACTCTGTTAAAAAAAGACAAAGTGAACCTCAGTTTGGATTATTGATGCTTTCGCAGTGCAACGGCTGTATTATCGAAAAGAATATTTCAGTTGTTATTTGGGTTGTGAAAATCTTTCGCAGATCCTTAGCTTTGATTAGCATTAAAGTGCCTCAAATGATACGGGTTTAAATGCACATATGTGACTTTAATGCTTGCGTATTCAAACATACCTCTTTAAATGTACGATAAACATGCATAGTGAGCAATTCTATAATAACTCTCATAATTTCCCTTTTATCTCTTCCATACTTTCTCTTCTCACGTGTTTGATAATTCAGCACGTTATAATCCTCTGAAAAAATTGCAAATTCGTATAGACTTAATCATCATTATCATCATTATTATCATTATCAATTTGTGTAACACCGAATGCATTGAAGCTTGTAAATTTAATCGTTGTTATGATTACTATTTTTGTGACAGACCAAAGAGATGAAACTTTTACATTTTAATACTGGGAGGTTTTCTTTTAGTAGTGTATGAATGATTGGTTGTTGAAATCAAATGGAAATTATGAAATGTACGTTTAGGTCAAAATATACCTCGGATGATTTCATTATATCTTTTCTACTAGATTGAACTTTTATTTGAATACAGTAAAGAGTAACTCTTAATTCCTCTATCACTCCCAAGAGCTGGGAACTATAGATAAGTGTAATTCAGTGTCTGAAATTATATATTTTTGGAGTGGAATCTGTTAAGGTTCTGGTTTAAGCAACTGATTAAGGAGTTAAAAATCTACGCAAAAGCAGCTGTACTTCTTAAATTTCTGGGAAGATTGTGTTAATTTGATGAATTGAGGATAACGTGCATACAAATGGACATGGAAAGTTTGGAGTCGCTTCGTGAAAAAGTGCATTTCATTTGATTGTAATGCCTTAATTAAAAAAAACTCACAAAGTGGCAAGGAACCAACATTGCGATCCTTTTAAAATTGTCATGATCTTAATACTTCTTTAGTATTGACATGAACATCCAAAATTGTATGATTTTTAATTGCTTTTTTATTATTTTTCGAGTAAAAAACACTAGGTATTCAATGAAAATGAAAAAGTGGTCTTTCTATACGGGTGGTCACTAACTAAAGCATGTTGGACTGTATTATGAAGTATGATATATCAATATTTTAATTCTCAGTATTGATCATGATTTGTATGTTGTATGATTTATATCATCATTAGTTTATAGTATTCTGTTCACTGCGGTTGTACGAATCTGAGGTGGTAAATTTCTATCTCATTTGCATAATATGTATCACAATTTACATGGGTATTTTGTGTTTTCATTTGGATTAACATGAAGAGATATGCTGCACGTGATTTCATTGTTGATACTTTATATTGGACTTTCACAGGTGATATCAATACCTAAGAGCATAATACAGCCTTGTTATGTATTTGTCTGGTTATTTCAGGAGATGACTTTAAACAAAAAGTAAATTCTTTAAATTGGACATGGTATGCATGCAAAAGTAGTGCCAAATGCTCAACTATAGGGAATTCTATCGAAAACTGTCAAAAAGAAATTGAGTATTCAAAGGTACATGATTATGATATGGTGATGTATAGGTCTACATAGTTTATGAGATGTGTGGTTATTGCATACATGATGTTATTGAATTCCAAGTAGGGGCTTGATCTTTAAATCATGATTCTCTCACTGTCAAAATTTGTGCAAATTATTTAAAAAATGAGATTCCATATGACAAGTTTATAATTTCTCAATATATTTCCTTAATAAAAAGGAAGTTCCATGGTGTCGAAATTGGTGATTGATTACTTGTTTTAGATTACAAGAACTTGAGAAAGACAAGTTTTCCTTGTTCAAATATGTTTGATATTACTTGTATAGTATAAATCATGTATGGCATTGAGAGATTGCCATTGTAGTTTTTACCAGGGTAAAGTAAAAAAGTTAAATGAAATAAAAAAGAAATGAAAAGTTAACAAAATCAATTTAACAGCAAAGTGTCGTAACTGAGGGGTTAAAACATTTGACCAGAAATGGAGAGGTCATGTGTTCTGATCTATGGCATGGCACTTACATGTAAGGCAAGGCATTTTTTATCTACATTGCCTCTCAGGTGTAATATGGGTCGCTGGTAGGATGGGAAGATCATTGTGGTTTGGTCAGTGGTGTGCACCTGCCTAGAATGCTCCCTAGGGAGTGGAGAGTGTGCATACAATGTGTACGGGCAAGCCTCATGGATTTATTTCAAACACTTTTAAAAGAAATCAATTTTATTTGTTGTTTTAATATTACCATTTGTTTGATTTTACTCATGTTCAATTATGTGTAATTATTCATGCTATGCCAAGTGCCAGATGATATCCAGTAGATTAAGTGTTATCTGTTTATTCATGTTTTGTATCAGGAGTTGCAATAAGAAAAGATACTATTTTATTGCTGTGATATTTAACCTTTAAACTCTTTCTTTATTGTTGAGAGGTGATGGATATTTTTCAATAATAAAGCTGATTTAGAATGAAATTATGTTGCATTTGTTTACATTTTGTTGTTTTCATTTGCTCATTGTTGACAATTTCTTTGTTTTACTTAGCTCATTCTTTACAATGCTCTGTTTAATAGTCACTTGCCCATTATTTGTAAGAATTTGCAGAAGTCTACATGTACAATTAACGACTAAATTTGTCATACCCTTAGACCTAAAAAAAAAAGATGTTGAATTGCCTTTTGCGACCAACCCCCAAAATCTTAAAATCTAGGTCAGCATTTCATTTACAAAAAATGGTTACTGTTTTTTTTTTTTTTTAATGTTTAATGAATAAAAAAAATTGTATAACTGAAAAATATCAGCCCAAAGAGGGAAAGAAAAGAAAATCGACCGACCGACCCAGGTACTGGCATCTAAATGGCAATACAACATCTTTTTTTTTTTAGGCCTTATCAAGTTTTGTACCTTTTTAGGTACAGTTTGTGAAAATTGATTTGTCCCGAATAGTGTTTTTTGAGAATGTAATAAGTCAAGGCTTACAGGGCCCCTATTCAATCAGTCCACCTTTCATTCTGAAGTTACCAAAACACAAACTTCAGATTTTGCAAGGGATACAAATAATTTAGATCTTAACTGTACATGTGTCCATGTACATAATACATATACTGTACTTTTTCATAAATATTCTCATTTATAACAATTTTTTATTGTTTGCACACACACATACACTCAGACACACACACTCTCTCTCATTATGTCTCGCCATTCTCCTTTTCTTTCTTTCTCTCTTCCTATCCTTCAACCAAAACATTTTTTTTCTGGCTGTTTTATTTTCTACTCACTCACATGCACACACGCACGGATGTACACACAACACAAAAAGAACGCTCATACCCTTCTCTCTCACTCTGTCTCTCCACCCTCATTTTCTTTCTTTCTCTCTTTCTATCCTTCAACCAAAGCATTTTTTTCTTGGCGTTATATTTTTCTACTCACTCGCATGCACACACACACACACACACACACTCACACTCTCTCTCTCTCCACTATTCCTTTTTCTCTCTTTCTATCCTTCAACCAAAACATTTGTTTTTCTTGCCGTTTTATTTTCTACTTGCTCACATGCACACACAACCACACACAGTCATACCCATTCCCCTCTCTCTCCCATTCTCTGAAAAACCAAAACTTTTATATAAATCCATATTGTTATTATTTTTTTCCTTCTTTTTACTGTCTCTGTCTGTCTGTCTCTCTCTCTCTATCCCTCCATCTTACAACAGCATACAAAACATCTTCACATCTCCAAGACTGCAAATAAAATACCTCTACTTCTTCTGATTCTTTTCATAACTCCGAAGAGTGACATTTTGTATAATTTAATCATGATTTTTCTCTCATTCTTTGTTCTCTTTTTTCTTTTTTAATGAGAATTATTGCAACACAATGGAAGCATTGGTCAATGCATTTTTCAATGTCCAAGATAGGATGACAAAATTTACAATATAGTACAAAGCCTCTCCTGCACAGTGTACAAAAATATGGTACATCAAATTCACTAATCATTCTCTAATAATGAATTTGTTTTTCCTATTTATGTACAAGTAAAATAAATTCAAAGCAAACAGAAAAATAAATAGAGATAAATTACTGAAAGTGTAAATATATAAAACTGAAGAGCATAAAAGGTTATCATCATGTGTAAAGATAGGCGAAAATGTATTACGTATTATTTCACAAAAACAGTGCATATCTTTTCTTTTCAATTTTATCTTTACAAGTCAGAAAATTCAGCAAAGAAACTCTTACATAGGTCATAACTTGGAAATATAGAGATATATTTTTAAAAATGAATACGTTTGTCAAGTTTAAAAATTTGTTGGTTATCCATTTAACTTGTATCTCCATTTTGAATGTTAAAAAGATTACATGCGCGTAACTACATGTATAAAAGTGAAAGCAAACTGGCATCAATTCAGCAAAAAAACAACTTCAACATGATGCATGCATAACAGTCAAAGTATTTATACCCTTTTCTTGTAAAGTTATATTTCTATGCAGTCATTCCTTGCAGAAATGTTATGTCTGATATCCCAGGCACACCAACAAACCAACAGCAAAAAATATTACCTGGCATGGCAAATAATAATAATAATAATGGGTTCTTGTATAGCGCTCATGTCTGTCACACTCGACAATCATTACACTGGCTTTTAGCATGGTTGCCATTATGATGCTCTAGCATTTCAATGAATTCATTCCTGCCAGGTACCCATTTACCTCACCTGGGTGGAGAGTGGCAAATGTAGGTTAATATCTTGCCAAAGGACATTAGTGCCGAGACGGGACTCGAACTGCAAAGCATGTGATCCACAGTCCCGCTAGACCGCAACACCTCCGTCAGTTAGTTTGGAGTTGGTATGGTGGAGTTACTAAGGTATTGAAATAATTTGCACAGCCTCCTTCCCCATCCCCCCCCCCCCCCAAAAAAAAAAAAAAAAAAAAAAAAAAAAATGATACGAAACTTCAAAATAAATTGTACATGAAATGAATGGTCTTAACAAATAATTGTGTTAACCTCAGCAGTTTATGAGTTACACCTTTTAGCTATGGCAAGAAAATATTTTTACTTTTAAAAAGATTTCCACCTGAAATTGTAAGCTTTCAGCCTGCTACATTTGTTTAAAAAAAGTTCAGCCTTTATTTGTCAATACTTGGATTATGTTAGAAGCTCTAATTTGCATATAATCATGCAAAGCTAAAAACATAAATACCATACACACTCACGCACACACACACCCAAACACACCCCTCCCCCTTTTAAAGAAACAAAGCATCACTAACCAAATTTTCTTAATAAAAAAAAAAATCTTTAACAGATTTTCCCCTCTCCAATACCTTTGAAAATCAAATTTTTCCAGGAATATCAATACCGGTATTCTAATATCCTGAGAACCGATGATGAAACAAATTTAAGCAACCCAATCGACTGGTCATGTCTTTTGCTTTAAACATTCAAATATTTGTTCCCTAATATTTTGGAATATATTTATGCATGATCTGAACTCAGGGAGACAAATGAAATTATTATTGGTAATTTTCAAATTAGAGTACACAAATTCTACAAATTAATATCATTATAATTCTTCCAAGTATTTACGTAAATTCTTTGGTAGGCAGCTATGTTTCAAAGCCTCTCGCACCATAACTTTGAAAAACATTCAGAAAAAAGTCAGATTTCAAATAAGTAAAAGCAATATAAAAATAGCAACAGAGTAAATATATAAAAACATCTGTAATGAAAACTGAAACAAAGAAGAACAAAATGAAAGGCAAATTCAAAATTTGAAAGATTCTGAGAAGCAATACTCACTTTCTTCCATAAATAGATGGAAGATAAACAAATTAAAGTAATAATTAATATGAATTAAAGCAACTTTTATTTCTAGCATCATAAATGAATATAACTCCTATGATTGCAATGATACAAGATTTCAGTATAACACTCCTACTGCGTCTATCTATTTTCAAAACAAGAATAAATTACAAATGCAAACTTTGACAACATAACAAATATAAGAAGGAAGATAAAACAATTAAATAGTTAACAATAAACATGATGAGTTGTAGACTGCTCTACTAGAATGAACTCACTATTTCAAACACAATACATAACATCATATTATTAAAATAGCAGAATTATCATTTTTAAACCACTGAGAATGAAAAACACATCAATAGGAAAAGAAATTATATTTCACGCCGGAAATGATGCTACAAACAAAGTATGGCCCTCAAAGGCTCAAACATTTGATTTTACTTAAAGTATTATAAATCAAGTGAAAAAAAAGTTGTTTGTGTTTTTTTTTAACTTTCATTTGAAAAATGACCCAATTTGAGATTCAGGCCTAAACAAGCTATCCATTTACTCATACTTGCACCATATCTTTTCACAAAGCAAAGTGAAAAGCAAAATAAAAGGGGAAAAAAAAGAATATGAAGGATATATGTCCTCTAGTGATACTGTTGTCTGATTTACAATAATTATTATGAACTGTAATATTTTGTATGAAAAAGATAGTATGAATTATCCTAACAAAACAAGACAATGGATCTACAGTAAACGCCTTTAAGAACTGTAAGTTAAGAAGAAAAAGACGTATAGCTTTTAAAAATAACAGCAAACTGATTACTTCAAACAACCCCCCTCCCCCTTTTCCTTAACACGCTATTTGCAAGGGATCAAACCCGGAACTGCACTCTGTACTTGTCACAAAGTCAACTTTGGCAGTTGAGAGTTTGTGCCATTACTTGACTACACCAGATACAGAGTTAAAATTAAAAAGTTAAAATAAAATTGAGCAGCTCAGAAAAAAGAAAAAACATTTTAAAGACACTCTGACAGGACAAACAACAAACATTCAGTACATTTCTTCAGCCGACAGTACAAATACATTGATTCAAGCATTAGGAAAAATGCTGAGATAGACATAAAAAGATAAATACAATATTCTTAATTTACAGTATTCATATAAACTCATATGTACACTTCTGAAGATTTGCATATATAAAATATGAAGTTAAAATCTCTTTTAAATAGCATGTTTCTTTGGAAAGATAAAAGTTCTATGTTAAGTATTCTTCTTACTGCTACCTTAGGACTCTGTATAAGAGCTCGTGAATTGTTCTTAAGACTATAATTAAGCTACAAAACGTTGAAAGTTGATGTACTGAAGGCGCCGAGTTGGGCTCTAGTACTTGGGGGTTTCTTGAAGCTGCTGCTAATAATGGACTTAGGTGGAGGTATGCTGATATAACGGGACTTCTGTTGTTTATGAGGGCTTCTATCTTCTCTGCTTCTGTATTGCAAGCTTTTATCTGCAATAAAAGATAAAATATGAAAGAATGAAGTGAATTTCACTATTCTCACATACGTGTATCAGGTAACGGTATCAGATTCTACATCTAAGATATATGTAATACATGTATTATGATATTCATACAGGAATTTTCTTAATTCATGCAGAAACACTTGATATAAAAATTGTGTTTCTTGTTGTTTCAGGAACAAACATAGCATCAGAAAATTAAATGACAACAAATTTCTTTACATATAACCATTGTTTTGCTGCATTATGTATATTATATCATTTTATTTACATAACATGTGTTGGAATATACATTGAAAGTGAAAAAAAAAATGTACTTGCCATTTGAAGAAGAACAGCTTATTAATTTGGCTGACATGTGTTAAATTATACCCATGCTAATTTCTTATTTCTGAAGATCATTAATCTTCCTAATACTTAACTGTAAGAAGCTACAAAACTGCTAAAACAGAAACAAAGACAGTACCTAGAAAAACCGAAAGTTCTTGACATACCTGAATAATTGTAGGATTCATCACAATAGGTTTGATCAAGACTATAATATCGCCCTCTATGCTCAGATATCCGAAGAGGTCACACTCGGCCTAGAAAAGGTGAAGAAGTATGAGAGAGAGAAAACAAGCATGAGGGATTATCATTTCAGATTTGGTGTAAAGGTCTACGTCTATGGCTATGGACCAGGACTTGCTTGGAATTAAGGAAGTTAAAAGATCCTGGTCTTGATTTTATGCAGGAGAGTCAAACACTCACACTCAATACATAATTTTGAGTAATAATAATAATAATAATGGTGGTTTCTGATATAGCACAATGTCCGTTATGTTGTGATGCTCCTGGCGCTGCCCTGATTATTACCCTGGTTCTTGGGCTTTATATTAACAAAAAGTAGTAATCTCTTCCTTTAATTGTTATGTTTTTTTTCCTTGTTTTTTTTCTTCTCATTTTTATCTGGATTGCAGGAAAGGAAATGGTTTGTCCACCATTGAAGACATAGATCTTTTGGCCAAAATATCCCCCAAAATAAAAATTGAAAAGCGTTATGGGAGTAGAAAAATATAAAGATTTAGACAATAAGGTTCCTTTATGATATGGAATCATCCTTCAAATAAGGGTAGTTTACCGGAGGGCCTCCTTGAAATTGCATAAATAGTCTTAATTTTCCTTGTTTTCTACTACATTGAAGGGAATTTTGAAAACTTGGAACTCATGTTAAACCTTCCACACAAAGTGAACAGCTTAGACTTTTTATTTGCATCTTGGTCACCCAAGGGTCAACTTAGGTCACTCAAGGCTCAACTTAGGTCACTCAAGGGTCAGCTAAGGTCACTTACCACTGCCACCTCTCTGCGTAACCCGTCTAGTATCGAGTCCAACGATAAACCTCGACTCCCTGAAGCTGTGACGACCCTGTCTACCTCACCCTCGCTGAATAAGATACGAACTTGACCGGCTGAAAAGAAAAGAGGAGCAGAAAATTATAATCTAACTTTAATACTTACTTTGATCATGAATACAGTTGATAGTAAACCCCATATGACTATGAGCGCGTTTATCTAGGCTTGCCACTAGATATGTACATATCGTACCCCACTATCGAACCCCACTATCGTACCCCACTATACGATCGTGATTTGCGGGATGTCGCGTTTATCGACCCTTCACGATTCAAAATAAAGGCCTTGTGTCTGCCCAGCTGTTTTGACCCGGGAAGCAGACAGTTTCTCGGAGGTCAACTTCACACGTATGCTTGTACACAACACCTGGGTGGTCATATTTGTATGTGAGGTTCAAAACAGCTTTGCGTTTATCGATCTCTCAGAAACGTGATTCTGGCTGTATGTCACATTCAAAACGCACCTTTTTGCGTCTTTAGATATGCCCATATCTAAAGACGTTTGAAAAAGGCTTTGCGTTTATCTACTTCTAAATTTGCCTGAAAGACGTTTGAGAAACCTGATTCTAGCCAAAAATTTGCTAGATAAACGCAACCTTAGAGTAATTAGCTATGACTAAGTGAAAACAAAAATGTTTGGATTGTGTTGTTTGTGTGTCAACCAGGCATTATAAAAGGAAGTTATGATTATTGCAATGACACTTGTAGCGATGATTATAATAACTTCTGTTTGGAATGCCTGGTTGACAAATAAAACAGTCCACTGAAATAAGTTTTGACTCAATTTAGTCAGTTACTAACAATTCATTTAAAAAATAGTACTGCTAATGCCATCATCAGTACAACAATTTTTATAAATATCAATCGTTATAATACCCTCATTGCAATCACTTTCATAATCAACATAATCATTATCATCTCTATAATCACCATTACAATCATCATCATCATCATCATCATCATCATCATCATCATCATCATCATCATCATCATCATCATCATCATCATCATCATCATCATCATCATCATCATCATCATCATCATCATCATCATCATCATCATCATCATCATCATCATCATCATCATCGTCAACATCACTACAATCACCATTAAATAAACAAAATATTATAATACAGTCTTCCATCATTTTTTAATACATACCACAAATTGGGCAGCAGCTGCCTGGGGGTGTCACTGCTACACATATATCAGGCGCAGTAACTTCTGGGCAGTCTACCGTCGTGCATTGTATCTCTATATCTTCCTCCCCTGAAAGACAGAAAATAACGTCTCAAATTATACCCTTTGTGACGGTTAACAAAAAAACTTGCTTTCAAAATCTTATAGCTTTTACCATCCCAAGAGTCAAAATTTCTAGATGAACCCCAATACTGAAACTTGTTTGTCAATAAAGAATTCATCCATCTACCAATTTTATGTCTAGAACTGTGACTGTAAAAGTGACATTTAAAGGGCTGAATAATAATAATAATAATAATAATACATTGTATTTCTATAGCAATTAATACAATGTTTCTAAGCGCTTTACAATTTTACTTCAATTATTCACTTAGGTGAAATAGATATATATTTTTTTTAATTCTCTCTTTTTTAGTGGAAGGGCTTATTTATCATAAAAGGGGTTAGTTTCAGCAATAAAAAGAAAAGGAGTAGAAATTGGAAAGTCAGTGGTATGATTAAACAGGGTTGTATATGTCATGTTACGTTATCTGGCAACCATGTCTTAGCGGTCAATTACCTACACTAAATGAACTGCTAACTTCAACACTGAACCTAACTAACCTGAACCCTGTCACAATCTTAACCATAACCCTTCATCTATGACAAAATACATCCGCGAGCAAATATCAAAGTAATAAATGTTGGATAACCTTCTTTCGCTTATTTTAAAGCCCCATCGCACTAGTTATAGCTACTTGCGCCCTCTATATAGCAAACAATGCCTAATCGGTGCCTATTGGTCCCCAATGATCACCTTTTGCTTATGTTAATTGAGAGCTGTCAGTGAACATGCAGGGTGGTCTTATCCCTCCTGGCCAAACTAGAGCAGCGGGGCTTTAAAACATTGATAATGACTTACCTGTGAGCGTACCCACAGCCTGACAGGGACCGTAGTAGTCTACTGTAGTCCTGTCACTCCATGCCTCGCATTCACTGGAGTAGGTCTCTCCGTTGTGACCGCAGACCTGCTGACTTATCGAGCTATGACAGTCCATCTGAAATAACAATTCAATTTCAAATTCAATTTCAATTTCAATTTCAATTTCAATTTCAATTTTATTTATTCATCATCCAACTAGGTAAAACACATAAAACAGCTATAAATACAGTCACCTGCTTTAGTGACCACCTGTCGACAAAGACCACATTTTTTGTTTCCCTTGGAACATGTAGTAAAGGAATCTGTCTACAATACCACTTTTTGTATTTTCCATGGGCGGTCGCTATAGACAGGTTTGACTGTACATACAATGGCAAATAATAGATGAACGGATATCGTTAAAAGAAGCATAAGGCTTGTGAAACAGAAAGAACCTGAACAAATCATATGAAACAAGGTGATTACAAATCAAATATGAACATTAAGTACCCTATACAGGCTCAGCCCCCCCCCCCCAAGAAACACTAACAATAATTTGTATATCTTTAGAAGATATGAAACCATTTTTCAAATAGGTTATACGAGACGTTAAAATTGATTTTAACGGTTAGACTATTTTGAGCTAGTTAAATTGACTTGTCTTGCCCTTTTCAGCTCATAACATTCATGACAAACCTTCAGATCAGGGCCTCATTTCACAAAAAACTTGTCATCAGTGACAAATGACTGTTTTCGATATAAGCTAGTGAAATCCTTGCTGCTGATCGGTTATCAGTTGATATGTCACTGATTTTTGTCAATTGTCATTAAAAAAAGGTATTTGTGAAACGGGCCCCATGTGTCTGCTCTACACCTGGGTGGAGAGAGACAACTGCAGGTGAAATGCCTTCTCTAATGAGAGCACTGTTTAAAAGATTTCAACTGTAACCTAGCTCTTGGTTGAAAATCAAATAAATTAATAACTCTACCAGAGCACCTCTGTAAAAGGTTAAACCCAAACACTGATAATATTAATGACAATGAAAAAGGTGATCCTGAGAAAATATAACAAATAGAAATAAACAAAGCTATTAACACTAAAATGTAAACTGATTATTGGGTCCTATCTAACAGATGGATTAAATTCTTACCTGACAGCGCCCTCGGTAGGCCAGCTCTCCTCCGAGGCTGTGCAGGGTACACATGTTAGGATGCGTTCTATGGTTGGTGTCGCATACTGGAGCATACGTATCCAGGTCACAATCGTCCGTTGTAATAACTATTAGGAGAAGAAAAAATGAGAATAATGATGTCAGAAAATCTTTATCACCTGGGATAAATTTAAATAGTATGCACTCCTTTGAGGCCCTTCTGTGCCTGACAGGTGGCAAATCTTGCCACCATATCAAGTGTTGAACAATGTCCTAGGACTATTTGGGTCCACAATTTTCAACCAGAAACAGTCTAAAACAGGTACATTCATTGTTAAGATAAATGGCATATCCATGGATCCTATTAATGAACGGAAATGACATAAAATGGAAGATGCTTGCCGAATTTATTGATAAAACAAAAATAGCTGCCCCTAAAAACCTGGCATATAAAAGAGCTAAGTGAAAAATTTTACAACTCAGGCCAATGCTTGATTCATTTGAAATCATCTGGAAACAACACACTGATACTTTTTAATTTTTAATAATCACATTCTTGTCTGAAAATGTACGCAGATGGCAATCTTACATATAGTTTCAAAATATTGCTTCAAACAAGAACTTACTGCAGTCATATTGAGGACAGTCGGCAAAATTCACGCTGAGGCATACTCTCCGCTTAGGAACACATCTGCAACAAGAACAAGTGCAAAAATCACAAAAATTAATATAAATATATACTCATGATTGATGTAACTGTCTAATCTTGAGATCATCATTAATCTATCTCCAGCCTACAGGAAAAAGGAGGCTCCTATACTAAAACTAAGGGAATGAGTGGATTTGATAATAAACATTCAAGATTGAATGGAGACTGTTAAAGAGCACAGTTATTGAGACCAACGCTCATGTAGTTTGAACTTAGTCAATCAAAAAAAAATCAAGAGCAACTCAATATTCCTTTGTTTATGGTCATCATTTCAAGTGACTTGATATGCATACATTTTTGGTTCGTTGGATTTTGTTCAATCACTGATCTGTATCTCTGATGTTTCTTTTTATTCAATAATATCAGATTAGACCATTAAATTGTTGGAAAAATATAAGTTTGACTGCCCTAATTTAACCCTTAGTAACATCATCAATTTGACTCCTAACTGACCACTTATTGGTCATTGCGGGTAATATAAAAGTTTGTTTGGTCTGTTGTTAGTTTTGTTGCTGTGACTTAAGTATCAACCCACGTAGTAAGCTGGAGTGTTGGCTCTGTCAGTAGAGCGTCCGCCTCACAACCGGGAGGTCGTGGGTTCGAACCCCGGCTGCGTCATACCAAAAGACGTTAAAGATGGGAGTTGTTGCTACCTTGTTTGGCGTTCAACAATAAGAGATAGAGCAACGTCGATCTGGCGCTGCTCAGTGGCTGCCGGGCTCACGATCAATTGGGCAAAAAGAATTTCCGTTTCGGTTTAATAAAATTTGGAGTGGACTATTAGGCTATTATTATTATTATGTTTATTATTATTATTATAGCATTGACAGAATTCAGTAGTCGACGGGTTAAGAATAATGTGAGGCACTGGAGGTCATTATGAGAAGAATTCTTACCTGTAACCTAGGTTACACGGATTTGATTGACAGGGTGAATTCAATGCACACGTTCCTATTTCAAGCTGCTCATCGTTGAAGTTCCCAACGCATCTGAAATAAGAAAGAGACACAACACGATAAGTCTTAGTTTTAACCCTATAAAGGCTGGATTATTTTGGTGGTCTCTGAGACAGGGAGGGGTAGATTCTGCCCCCTCCCCCCTCCCATATGAACTTGGTTAAAGATGACAAAAGATTAAGTAACTTTACATAGAGAGAGAAAGCATCATGGCTCATGAGTAATGAATAAATGAAATAAAATGATTTATATCTTGAATAGCTCTGAAATTATAGCTAAATAACTAGTCATGTATTCATGTGTTTACAATTGAGATATCTTATAGCAGACTCTCAACGGAGCTCAAGTCTGCCCCTCCCTCCAAAAAAATGAATAACAATATTCAACAACTGATCCTCTTTTTTGATTTAATATTTCAAAGTTTGTTTTCATTGTCCTATTATCCTTTATCGTATCTTTCAATCATTCTTCATTTTGAAAGATATCAAAGAACTAAAAACCTGCTTCAATAACACTCACTTGGCGATGCAAGCACTAGGGTACGTCTTGCCATTTTTGGCGCAGACTGGAACAAACTGATCGGTGCAGTCGCAGGGCAGGCCGGTATAACGCCTCCTCTCTTCAGAGGTCATCTCGGAGGTCAAGCACTGTCGTTTGGAGCAGATCTCATTGCCGCCGAAACACACACACAGATTGCAGTCAATGTGGAAGTGACTGGCGTGTTCTGTAAAAAAGAGGATACGGATGATACAGATTGGAATTAAGGTTAGGAGTCAGGGTGGTATCCTGTTAAGAAAAGGGGAGGGGAAGTCTGCACACTTTTGTTATTGTTTACACGAACAAGTGTATCATTAAACCCACTCTACATTATTTCCTTTTGTAACTAGATGGAACTTCGACTGCGCGCAGTCGAAAATGATGCCTCCGTCATAGAGCAATTTTACAAACCAAAACAGAAGAAATTTTTCAAATTCAAGTTCAATTGTAATCCATTAACAGGTTTTCAGAATATTGTGATTACAAGCTATTTTTGCATACATAATGAGCCCATGACCTTTGACCTTATGAACCAAGAATCTACTCAGTTCATTGGCTCTGCAAGAAACATACATGACCTAAGTTGGCAGGAATCCATCAATCGGTTCTTGAGATAACGCGATCACGAGCTGTTTTTGCATACATAATGTGCCCTGTGATCTTTGAACTTTGACCTTGTGACCCCTACATCTAATCAGTTCATCGGCTCTGCAAGTAACATACATGACCTAAGTTTGGCAGCAATCCATCAATCGGTTCTTCAGATAACGCGATCACAAGCTCGTTTTGCATACATAATGAGCCCTGTGGCCTTTGACCTTTGACCTCGTGACCTCAAAATCTAATCAGTTTTTTGGCTTTGCAAGTAACATACATGACCTAAGTTTGGCAGCAATCCATCAATCGGTTCTTCAGATAATGCGATCACGAGCTCGTTTTGCATACATAATGAGCCCTGTGACATTTGACCTTTGACCTCGTGACCCCAAAATCTAATCAGTTCATCGGCTCTACAAGATACATACATGACCAAAGTTTGGCAGGAATCCATCAACCAGTTCTTCAGATAACGCGATCACGAGCTCGTTTTGCATACATAATGAGCCCTGTGACCTTTGACCTTTGACCTCGTAACCCCAAAATCTAATCAGTTCATCGGCTCTACAAGATACATACATGACCAAAGTTTGGCAGGAATCCATCAACCAGTTCTTCAGATAACGCGATCACGAGAACGGGACGTACGTACGTACAGACGTACGTACGTACGTACGTACGGACGTACGGACGGACGGACAACCCGAAAACATAATGCCTCCGGCTACTTCGTAACGGAGGCATAAAAATACTGGAAATGAAGTATTTACTGCACCTCACTTCTATCACCTAGTCACATTTTGGAACCATTAAATGGTATTGATAATGGATAGTGATTTTGCTAGTTTTTTTTATAGAACACGTTTCACTCAATTGAAACCAAGGGTAAATGAATTCCAGGCGATAAACACATTTTTTGTTCCCTAGTTTTTTGATAGAGAGGTTATTTCACTCAATTCAAACCGAGGGTAAATGAATTTCAGTCGAGAAACACATTTTTTTTGTTTTAGACAAGTTTTTGATAGAAAGGTTATTTCACTCAATTTAAACGAAGGGTTAATGAATTTCCATCGAGAAGCACATATTTTGGTTGAATTTCCTGTTAAGAAACTTGTCTCACACAGTACCTTTCATCTGGCCGCTGATGAGGCACATCTCGCTGCGTTCGCACTGCAGAGGTTGGCAGTGTTCAAGCTGGCCGGTGGGTCCACACACGCACGACTGGTAGCAGTCTAGATTCTCCCCCGAGTCTGGGAGACGCACGTAGCTACCGATGGGAACGAGGAAGGAGGATGCCTCTCCAAGACGACAACCTGCAGGACAGTCAAGAAGGGGAATAGTTAAAGGAGTCATTAGCAAATACATGTGCATGATCAGTAAAAGTCACTAGAGGTACATGTAGTCGTAAATTGAGGGTGTAATCACACTATAGATATCATTGCTAATGAGATTTGCTTAGCAGCGTGCAATGTAAGTTATTTACCAAAGTTATTGTTATTTTGTATATTTTGTGAGGATCATTTTTAATACATAATTTATATGCTTTTCATGATCCTACCACTTAAGATATCTCATTATATTTGTATTGTTTTTATCTTGACATGAAAATAAATGAATGCATGAATGAATGTTGGAGCAAGCACATACTTTTCACTTATTTCTTGGCCAACCCTGTTTGTCACCTCCCTTTCATTGTGAAAGGGACTCCCCCTCCCCCCACTTCTCCCCCTCCATCCTGCCCCCCCACCCCTTTTCTCTTTTCCTTGCTACCCACCTCTGTTGCATGTATGATGTTGGCAAACCTCCCGATGGCCACACATCTTCCTATTCACCGAGCACACCCCATTCGCCACCTCCGTATCGTTATTACAGGGGTCCGACTGGCAGGGCGTGGTGATGTCCAGGTAAGAGGCGTGGTGCTGGCTGGGGTCCAGGAAGGGGTTCAGGGACACACAGGGGGCGTTGTCATCAAACGGGGACAAGATGTTGCATAATCCCACCGGGTCAACGCCCTTAGCCAAGCGGGTGTGGTCAATGCACTTGCTGAGTATGTGGATGCAGTCAGATCTGTGCAAGATTTTAAAAGAAAACGGTTGATGATTGATTATGTAATATGAGCAAAACACTGCATTACAGTAAGTTTTATACAAATAATACACAGACAGTCTAAACACCCTCGGTTATCGCCTAGGTTGTGTCAGACTGTTCCAAAGGTACCTTGTGTGGGTAATTCTTACTTATGCCCGAACAAAATAATGTGTAGTATTTGTTTTATAAGATTATGTTTTATTTGTTTCATAAACTGATGTTTTATAACATGATTTTACTAATGACCGGTCATAGCATTTGATGATGACCAGTCATTATCAAAATTACGTGTTAGACAAAATAAATGCCTGGTCACGTGTAGGCCCTCAACCAATCATTTAATTAGGATCCACGTCATCATCTTATAAGATCAAATATAAAGCGTCTGATAATTTACATTTGACATCAAAGAAAAAATTGTAAAAGAGGCTTCAACTTACTTGCAGATCATATTGGTGTGGGTTTTACGATGACACGGCTTGACCTGCAGCGTGCATGCTATGGTCTTCCACATGTCGGACTCACACTCTGCAATGTTGAGCACGGGAATGTTCATGAATGGCATTCGAATCAGGCCCTCGCTCCAAAGCTGCATGTCGTAGGCAGCGCCCTCATCGGAGCGGATTGAACAGCTCCGGAAAAGATCTGTAGGTCTGTTGGAGAGATAATACAAAGAAAAATTATGTCAAAGGTGGGGCAAGGGTGGGTGTCACATTAATACAAAGATTAACATGAATTGTGTATCCTATAGGGAGATGAGATTCAGTTTTTTTATGTACAGTAGGTCATATTTTGCTGAAACCAGACTTGGTGGAAATACCAATAATGGGTGCACAAGTCTCGCACAAAGCAAACCTGTAGTCCCATTATGAAAAAACTCTAGTCTCTCAGAGATTCTTTGGTTGAGAGATTCAATTTATCTCTTGTGAATGTTTCAAAATACATTTTAGCATCATTATACTGACCTGTTATTGAAGTGTGCACAATAATCCAGTCCACTGCACCCGGCCTTGCATGGTTCTTCAACTGTTAAATAAAGAAGGAATGAAACAAACAAACAAACATAATTAGATTTGAACAGAAGTGCGTTGTTGTTGGTGGTGTCGTTGTTGCAATTATAGTTCATGTCGTATATGTTGCTTATCGACAAGGGAAGGAAAGCCTGTTTCCATAAAGAGTGTCTTCGTTATCTACTAAATGAAGTTTTTTTTTAAGGGAAGTATATACATGTACATATGCTGACATGTATATAATTCAATACCCCGCTTGATAATCTGTTCATTCTAACCCCCTATAAGTTATAATGGAACCTTCCTCCATGCATAGTGATTAATGGAAGTGTAGAACATACCATCTGCTAAACAGGTAAGAAGTGCTTCCTCAGCTGGCTGATATCGGCAATGCTCGTCAAACTCATTCCACGTGTCCCTGTTGGACAATGATGGGGTGTAGAGCTGAATGGGAAAAAAGGGTAAAATGTTTGTAAAGACAATTTTTTTTTGCATGACTTAAGTGATTACAATTCTTTCTACGCTTCTTCAGAATACATCATTATCAGCAACAAAATAACCTTTATTACATTCCTCCTCTTTATCAGCATTGTAAGAGTCACAATATTATCCTCCTGCTTATAACCATTACATTACCATTACCCTTGTGTCCAACACCACTACTGTCATGATACCCACAATGAAGACCAACACAACTATCACCACAACCCCCACAACCAACATCATCAACACCTTTATTATCCCTCTCCTCATCTTCATTATCATTAACATCATAATTATTATCCATCATCATCATCATCATCATCATCATCACCATCATCACTATCATCACCATCATCACCATCATCATCATCATCAACATCATCACTATCATCACCATCATCACCATCATCATCATCATCAACATCATCATCATCATCATCATCATCATCATATCACCATCATCACCATCATCATCATCATCACCATCACCATCACCATCATCACCATCATCATCATCATCATCAACATCATCATCATCATCACCATCATCATCATCATCATCATCATCATCACCATCACCATCACCATCATCACTATCATCACCATCATCACCATCATCATCATCATCATCATCATCACCATCATTATCATCATCATCATCATCAGCATCATCATCATCATCATCAGCATCATCATCAACATCAGCATCATCCTCCTCATCATTTCAAGATACCTATCTTGCTTACCTTGACACAGATATCCCTGCATCGTGAGCTGATAGCCCTCAGACAGCACTGAAGATTGGCCCCATCTAGAGCACCAGGGTTGGTGGGGCCTATTTCAGGATGACTGATCTCGTTGCCAGCTGATGGACAGCGAAGAAAACAGACCAAAAAATGTTATCTACAGAGATGATCAACTTTACAAATTCTAACAGCTTTCTTTCCCATGTACATCTATCCCGCTTGCATTGCTTGGATTGGGCGTTCTTTTCCTTCTTGCTCTGTACTCTTATCTCTTTATGAGATCAAGGTGAAAAGCTTTGGTATGTTTAAATCAAAGTTTGTTAACACTATCATCATGAACATGAAACCAATTTCAGCTTTAATTGCAAATCTTTCATTAATGTTAAGCTATTTTCTTTCCTCTGGAAAGAATTGAATGAACAAGTACAAGAGAAAAGGAAGATGAAAAATGTTGAAAATTAAGATATGAAGGAGGGACAATAAATCGGCCAATTATTCATCAAAAATTTAAAGCCCTTAGAAACATGGGTGGAGAGGAGCAATGTAGATAAAATGCCTTGCTCAAGGACATATAAGTGCTGTGCTGGGGCTTGAACCACCGACTTTGGCATTCCCAGTCAAGTGGTTCAACCACTCGACCACAACGCCTTCCACTACTTGAATTAGCAACAACATACTGTACCTGATACAAGAAGAAAACACCTCCACATTGCATCGTTGGGCACAGGTTGATCGCATCCCTCTTCCAAGGCATTCATTATAGCGCCCTCTGATGTCAGGTTTGTTAATGTCCGACGACAGACCTCCCGGCATCTAGGTCTCGTGGAACGCTCACAACAGTGTAAACCTGAGAGGGAGGAAGAAAGTTTGGATGAAACTTACTTGTATAAAGTAGGATGAGAACATGAAAAGTGTGCACTATATAATGTAAGTAATGTTGTGGTACTATATAAACAACACCAATAGTTCATTGATGTGCGTAAAGAGGCTGTGATCAGCGGAGGAATACCAGAATAAAGCACTTTCAAGATGGCCTCTGATACAGAAACATTGTCTCCAATGATCTTTTATTTATCTGTCCATCTGATTATTCAACATGGTGGCAGTGGTGGGATTTGGGATCATGATTGAATCAAATGACCGGAGAATGAAACATGGTTACTATTAAAGACCATTTATTAATATACAAAACATAAATAGTCATACTGTTGTCTAAATAGTATTAGTAATATGATATCATCATCATCATCATCCTCATCCTCATCATCACCATCATCACTATCATCATCATCATCATCATCACTACTATCATCATCATCAATATCACCACCATCATGAGTATCACGACCACCATCACCATCATCATCATCATGGTGACCTCCCGACATCTCGGTCAGGAGGTCTGTCATCAGACATTAACATCATCATTATCATCTTTGCCATCCTCCTCTCCTCTTCCTCCTTTTTAACCAGTTAAAGTGACTATGCCTCAGATTCTTAAACAAAATCTTGGATTTAGCCCATGCTGCAATCATAATTATAAACCTTCAGGTAAGTCAGAATCTTTTGACTTTTACAAGCCTGTCTGATTATCAAGATATTTATGATTGGAAATCAAAGTTTCATATTTCATTTTCCTAATTCCTAACGGTTTTTATAACACTACAGTCTATTGGGGAAAATGAGTATGGTAAAAACGGTCACTCAAAGATTTTTACTCTGGGGGGCACTTCATGATCATTTTGAAACTCAATTTTTTTTAGGGCTTCAATATTACACCATATCACAGACACTAATAACACGTAGCGCCATGCATATCAGATTTATCACTGTTAAACGATGCCTTTAAAAAACCACCCACGTAAAGATCCTTCACTTACTATCTCTGGGGTTATGTCTTGGGGCCATGATGTTGGTATAATTATAAACACATTGCTTGATGCGCTCATCGGAACAGTAGATCTCTATGTCCAGCCCCATGTTATCCGTCGGGAGGGGCGAGTCAAAGACGTCCTCGCATTTATTCCGACACTGGGTACCTTCGTGAGCCAAGCTGCAGCAAGATTCACGCCCTAAATGAATATAAAAAGAAAAATTAAAAGTTAAAAAGTTGGTTAAACATCATATTACACTTTTGATTAAATTCTTGAATTCATCTCTCTACTATATTTCGGAAAGCAATAAAAAAAAAAATTTTAAAGACAAAAAGGTTGCTATCTGGGTATACTGTCTGTTTGGAGACAGAAGGGCATTAACGCATATCATTTTACACAGGGTTAGTGCTTTTCTGGCTCCGAAGTGATGATGTGTTATATGGCCATGTGCCCTGCAGAAAGGCCTTAGGCAAACTATTAAGATTTTCTCTGCTAACACCCATTAGATAGATAGACAGAGAGATAGATAGAGAAATATAGATAGATAGACAGATAGATAGACAGACAGACAGATATATAGATAAATTTATAGATATATAGATAGGTATATATGTGTTAGGTAGATAGATAGATTGGTCAATAGCTTGATAGATAGATAGATAGATAGATAGACAGATAGATAGACCGACAGACAGATAGATATAGATAGATAGATAGATAGACCGACAGACAGATAGATATAGATAGATAGATAGATAGATAGACAGATAGATAGACAGACAGACAGACAGATAGATAGACCGACAGACAGATAGATATAGATAGATAGACGGACAAATATATATATATCGATAGATAGACAGACAGATAGATAGACAGATAGATCATATTGTGTGCAGAGAAGCATAACCCATAAACTCTTAATTATAGTTAACAGCCTTTTATTTCTCTAAAACAATATGATCTAAAATCTTGTGCTAGATGTACATTGTTAGCACTCTTCTGGTTCTCAGCAGATAATCTCAAACACATTGATCTATATCCCTCAAGTATAATATTTTGGGCAACAACCAGATATAATACAAGTAACAGTATAGCAGGTTAATATTGTAATTGAGCTTTTTTGCTGTATTATTAGTATTGTTTCAGGTAAAGTGTATGTGCAATCAAATTACATGAAGGCAATGTCCATTCCCACACAACCTGCATATTCTAAGTAAGCCTGCGAAGTCAATTATTCTACGGCCTTGAAAAATCATTCAACATTTCATTTCAGTCGCAATTAAGCTGATTGGTGAGAAATAACAAACTCCAAAGTTCAAGTACATCGGAGCTCACCATAAAACAAACATAAAAAGCAATAGGTGGGAATGAGTTGAGAGCACTTGTCCAGATGTTTGATAATATACCATGTTCATAAACTAAAGCCATTTATTAATTCCATGAGGCCAACTTTGTAAAAAAAAGAAAAGAAAAAAAAGAAGAAGTATTGCGAATGGAAAAGCAAGTTATTCGTAATGGGTTTTCCTGATATCCATGTATCTCAATTCGCCTTGAATTATATTTAAGGCTTGAATAAAAGACTGATGAATAAAGGTATATGGTGTTGAGTGAGAAAATATGTAGGCCAACTTTTATATCACTCTGAATTGTATAGGGCTACTTCAAAACTCAAACTCAATTGCTGATTTGATTAAGGGCAGAAACTATTAGAGATACAGATATTAACCCTCACATTCCCAAGCTTTAACCCCATTGACTTTATACATGTACTTCTACACATCTTCATGTCTGTGGTAGTGAGAGGATTAACATGAAGGTTTAATCAACCAACCAATATGAAGAATGTTATGAATTTTAGACACTCAAGAAAAATGAATACGTATAGAAAAAATACCACAGATCAGCGTAATTTATCTATCTTATCACATCATATCTTACCCGTTCATGTAAATTAAATACATTGAAATAAAAAAATTTACATTTCAATTTCAGTTTGTATTTATATCATTTCCAACAGAAGGATAAACAAAGGTATTACAGATATTATTACAGAAAGTATGAGAAAATGTATGTACATATTCATTTTTTATCTTGATAAATATACAGACTCACTGTACACATATATAAATTATTAAAATAAATTATTACAAAAAATTCTTAATTTCTGGGGACATTGTCACCTTTGAACTCTAAATTGAATTCATCACCATTCCCATACACGCACTACCAAACACCCAAACCCAAAATGAGAGCCCGGGATCGAACAACCCACCCACATCCCACGATGATGATCGCCCCGCTTCCAAAATTTATGCCGCGTCACTCAATGCGATGTCGTTCACACCTAATCATGGATTGAGATTGTTTTCCAAGCCAGCTTGAGCTAAATGTATTTATACCCGGTCTTTCCCTCACTTTTTCCCCTCACACGATCCTTCCTATTCTCTTTTTGCCATTATTTCTCTTGCTTTTACCTCACGCTGTCCTTTCAATTTTATCTTTTCTTTGTTCAGTATCATTTCTGTCCAGTTTTATCCCTACCAGTATTTTGTAATTCACATTTATCTCATGAAGTTTGCTATTGCCTTGTAAGTTCATCAAATTGATCTAGAATTGCACTTTTTTAAAATCAATTCAAACTAGATAAAGAATTAATATTATTCAAAGCTGTAGGGTCTTACTCAACTTATTTTTCCTGCAATGATCATCTGATACAAGCAAATGACTACATTGTTCTTGTTTATACAGTGGCATTAATGTCTTAATACTTGTAATGTTTAGTGTCTTCATTCTGAACTGGGAGAGGAGAGAATAGCAATGAGAGCATTCCCCCATTTTCCAAAAAAAAGAAACACAGAAGAAGCTTAACTGCAACACAAAATGTTTCTGTAATGCACTGCTTTAATCCCTCCCCATTTTAACCAAAATACAATATATATGTTATCATTGAAGGCAGGGGCAGATTTCAAAGGGGGGGGGGTGTCACAACCAGCCTGTGCCCCTTAAAAACAATACAATATTCCTTCAGTATACAAGTACATTCCACCTTTTCTCTTTTATTGCTTGTTTTTCAGAACTACACCTATCCCTTTTACACAATACTGAATCTGCCTGTTATCAAGCACATAACATGCAATCACACCCCAACCCCGTCCCACAGACACAAGTTATTTGAATTCCTCATTCGGCACATTCGATTATAAAAAGACAAAGAAAAAACAACAACTGCCACACTTGGTTGGTGTTTTTTCTTTACGTTCTGTCTATCACCGTACCAATGAGTCTGGCAGGCAAAAAATTCACGGATTACTGCAAACGGTGATAGAGGTGGCACATATCCTAACGTCTCTCTTCAAGCGCAGAGGAAGAGGAGTTTCTTTTTTTCATCATTTTTTCTGATTAGTTCACAGTTTCGCTTGCAATGTTTTGACGGGCGCTCTCTATCCCTCTCCCCTCTTTCATCGTTTATGTTTTTCTCTTCTCCTCTTTTTTATTTTCTCTCTCTTTCTCCTTACTTTCTTACTTTCTCACACTCTTTAACCTCTTTCTCCCAATTCATCTCTCTGTCTTTTATTCTTTCAATTTTCCCCTCACTCTTTCTTGTTTTACTTAATCATTTCTTTCCTCACTCCCTTCCTTTTCTCTATATCCATCCATCTTTCTTCACCTCTCTTTATAACTATCTCTCTCTCTTGCCCCCCCGCCCCTCCCCCTCCCCCTCCCCCTCTCTTTCTCTCCCTCTCTCTCTCTCTATCCCTCTCTCTCTCTATCCCTCTCTCTCTCTATTTCTCCCCCTCCTTTCTCTCAATCCCCTTCTACCATTTCCTCTTCTTACCTCTGTCTATGATTGCAGTGTCTCTCTATTTCAATCAACATCCTCCTTGTTCTATCCCTTTCTCACAACACCTACAACCCATTTTGTCTTTCATTTCTTCCCTCCATCTTGCTGTCCTCCGTTCCCCCTATCCTTCCTTCTAAACATTACTGCGAAACCCCTATACTCTGGGGAGGAAATGGCTACAAAAATTGAGTGGATAACTTACTTTCATATCTGTCCAAACAGCCAAACAGATCTCCCTGTGGATCAATAGAGACAGAAAAAACAAACTTGTGTATGAATTCAAACACTATTTCTGCGTAAGCAATTTTCTGATGTCCAGACATGATTCAATTAACAGTCTATAAAAAAAGAAATGTCAAAACTTTGCATGTAATACCTCAGTCACACTGCCAAACCGACTCCACATGGAATACAAACCAACCAATTATTTTCCATTTGAGGTTATGTAATTTTTCTTGTTTGGTATATTGCTGGTCTGGTGTTGGTCTGTTTGGTATGACTGGGATATTAATGAATTTAAAAAAAACATTGCTACCCCCAACAATTACTCTTATGCATGCTTATTATTGAAAATATACAAAAAGACAAAGCATGGTATGTTTCTCTCAATCATTTTGACAAAAGAATTTTTCAAATGCATTTCTCTTGTTTCTCTTGATTAAAAAACAGTGTTCAACTTTATTGGATTATACATTAACCAAAACATTTAGATTTTCAAGAAGAAAGAATACTCTTTCTTGGTCCAAAACTATTAGATGTAATATCTGATTGTGTGCAGGTAGATGTAATTTCAATAGTGCTGTAACATCAAGTTTACATTGATTTCCATTTAACTGAAAATGGGAAATGGTTTTTGCACCCCACAGGCTGTTATTGGTCAGTAAAACAATTCATTACAGTACTAAAAATCACCTATACCACTGTAAACATTAAGATAGGTGTGCACATGTTTCCCTATAACATAATTTAACTGCTTTAATAATGCAAAGTGGAAGAGGGAAGGTTTAGGGGGGGGGGGGGTCGTGATATAACCTGATCTACATTAGATGTTAACTCATTAAGCTCCAAACCTCACATCTTCATCATAACTGTGTCAAGGATACCATATCCACCCTCCTCTAAATAAAATTTTGCATGCACAAACTATAGGTAAATTTTGTGTAATTTGTAGAAATTTCTTCCTGCTGTGAAATAAATGAAACATAACACTGATTTTGTTCGTTTGGTTCAAACTTGGTGCAGGCACGAGTCTCTTGTCAAGAAAACAGTTGTTACCAATTTAGTTTGACTTACAAATATTTCAACTCTGATAATAAATGGATACAATATCCAAACTGAAGAAAAGCCAAATGGTCCTACTACAACACTATAAATGTTACAAATACTTGATGTTTGATTACATCCACAGTTTTAGGACAAAACAGGAAGAAGAAAAAATGGATTTACCTCTTCAGAATGGGTACATGCTGCTGCTACCTCAGAGAAAGAATGTGCCTGTAGAAAGAAAATAAGAAGGAAAAAAAACACCTAAATGTTTAAAACATGGAGATGAGGTCAACAAAACACAAAAAGGGATAAAAAGTAAGACAGAACGATCGATCGATTATTGACTACTCAGAAAAGAGAGAGAGAGAGAGAAAAAGAGAGAGAGAGAGACAGAGAGAGAGAGAGAGATTGATAGAAATGGAAGTAGAACAGGATGAAATCTGAAGTCAGAGAAATATCAAACAGGAGGGGAAAAATTAAGAAAAATTTAAAAGAGAACACATCAGAAGTGAAAGAAATTCAGGACAATTTTGATATTTCTAAATCTTGATTGTTGAACACCATTTTTTCCCATTGACATATCCGCAAGTGTGAATACCATCACACTGGTCCATTTATTTCTCCTTTATTCTCATCAGTGCACATTGCAATGGTTAAAACAGACTGGAGTAAATCACTTTATTCAATCAAAGATATTATGATTACGAGCCAAACACCCAAAGTGCTGACTGATACGCTACCAATGATGGTTTCTGTCTCAACCATGGCTATCCACCAACGTGCTTGATAATGGCTCTTTTTAAAGGCAGGATTAACTTTTTTGTCTTGGTATTAGACAATACCATAGATAAGGTTTGAAAAACAAATAATGATCAGTAAGAGTGACCCCAAACTTTTAACAAGTATTTCTTAGAGATACCATGACTCCTTGTTCCTTTTACGTATATCAAACGGCCCCTCCCCCCCCCCCCCCCCAGCAACATCAACAGCAACAACAAAAGGAAAGGAAGGAAAAACTATTGCCATAACGGGCTCTGGGGGAAAAGAGCTATCCTCAAAGTTTAAATCCATTGATGATCACTTTACATATATATTCCATTGAAAAATTTTGAAAAAATATGCAAATTGCACATACCAAAACTGCAAATCTACAATAATTTGCCTTGTGAAGTCCATAAAGTCACAACTTGCCAGGCTTATGTTTCACAAGGTTATATAAAACATATTTTGAGAGTCAGAGGTGTGTTAAACTCAACTTAAAAGTATAAGTTAACAAACGATACTCTCACTATTACATATTCAACACTGTGCTATAACATGGACTTCATGGAATGCCTTCACTATACTTTCACTTTAACTCATCTGTTTTGTAGATGCTCTTCACAATCGGTGAGAGTAAAGGGACGGGATAGAATGATGTATTTAACACTGCTTCGTCGCAAAGGAACGCTCTATCTTGATCGCGTCTGGAATTTTGCGGGAAGGAGGGGAGAGGGACGGAATAATGAATTGCCCTTCCGTTTCGTTTAGAGAGGTCTACCCGTCGTCTGGCGTTATAATACGGAGAGATGGTCGTATGAATGGCCGCTTGTCACATGTCACGGTGTATTTGATCTTACATTCTGCTCAGGACACAATGAAATGCAATCAGGGAGCCCAAGACATCGGCCCCATGCATTTTCTTGATGGGGTTATACTTGTTGGGTTTGCCCGCTCCTAGACTCGTCTAGGACGTAGCACGTGTTGCTAATGCCTTCTGTATCCGGTCGTGTGAAACAATTAGGACCTACAGGTATTTCACCCAAATATAATATAATGCAAATAATGCTTATTCTATTCCTATTTCCTCTTTTTGTCATAGTGCCTATAAACAGGAGCAAGAACAGTCAGTTTCACTTTTCTAACTTTCTATGGTTACAAGGGACCTATGGCATTCAATTTTACTCAAGGGAGGAGGTTATGGAGAATCTATAACTTTACGCATCACATTATTGCATTCTGGCTTGGTATTGAACCCGGAACCTAATAGCTTGGAGTCCACTACCCCAACCACTGAACCATCCTGGATCAACCCCCCCCCCCCTCCCCTGATGAACTTCAAATCTCACAAAACACCAATGAGATAAGGAGGACTTCTAGCTTGGTATCAAAGGGGGTATGGATTACATCATGATAGTGACAAAGTAACAACATTGAAATCATATCACAAGGGGACACCTTTTAAATACACGGATAGGATTTCACACAACAAAGGCAACCACACTGCCCCACCAAGCCTATAGCATATGAATGGGGGAGGGACTCAATGGGGACACACGTTGCCTCACACCAATTTGTCAAACCGCATTTGCAGGTAATTGGCATCCAGTGGTTTTACCAACTGGGATAATTCAGACCCGCTGATGATCTACCACATTTGGCAGGATTATTTTTAGGTTCGGGGTTGAAGTTGGAGTTTCTGCGGCACGTTCGAAAATCGTTTTCCCTTTTTTAAACCATTCAGTCATCTTGTGCTCTGAAAAAAGCAGTTCCTTGCCTTGACCACATACCCAAATTTCACACACTGTATGCGGCCCAATGACGCATGAGATTAAGAGAAATTGGGACAGTTTTATAGAGAGATTATAGGGTGCATTTACTAACTTTTAATGCTTTTAGCAGCAACAATGGAATAAAAATACCTTTTGAGTTCTTTTAAATGGCAAAGCCAGTGTTCAATGCACTTTTGTACTTGCAATACTAGATTTCATGACATAAATCTTTTGAAAATTTCCTCCTTCCCTTCTTTTCAATTTGTCCCCAAACCTAACCTACCAGTTTCTTCCCCCCCCCCCCTCTCCCATCTCAGTATTTTGTTTCAATTTTTGCCTACATCTTTATCCACCTCTCTACCACTCTGTCTTCCCCTCTTCTATCTTCAGTTCTTCCTTCTCTCTTTCCCTTTGTTCCTTCCCATTGTTCCTTCCCATGTCTTTGTTCTCTATCTTTCTACCAATCATTTTTTTTTACACCTACGTGTATCTCTAGTAAGATCACAGAGCACAAGAGAGGAAGATGAAGATGGCACGACAAAACCAACCGACCGACCAACTCCCACTTTTCTCCCTAGATCTCACGTTCATATGACCTTGAAACCCATTTCACATTCACCAAAACTAATGGGATAATGCACCTTTCACAAGGAAGTGTATATGAAAAGATATCAAGAGGATGGTAACCCCCCCCCCCCCTGCCCTTCCTGGAATATTCTTGATCATTATCAGCATAATTAATTAACACCTATCTATCCAATACCTAATCTCCTTTTCTCCCAAGACAAAATGGATTTAACTTTTCTAACATCATCAGGATCTGAGCATTAATATGGAAACAGTCAAAGCTGGTTTAAAGTCTCGGTCACAAATATCATTACGAACGGCTACGAACGGCTACGAACGCCGTACGAACGATTTTCATACCATTGAAATTCGGGAAGACCATAGAAAAACAGGGATATCCGTACAAACGCATCGTTCGTACGAACCTTTGTGATCGTAGCTTAATAAACTGGAAGTCAAATGATGTTTTCTGTATACATAGTCATATAACACTTTTAAGCAATGAGAAGAAAAAATACTACAGAAAGGCAAAATCAACTAAAATATTATGCTGATTGTGAACACAAACAGAGACGAGGGTCCTACCCAAGCCTTCCTCTGCAATACAATAACACTTTTATTGTGTAGTGTGAACAAGACCAAAGAGGATGGCGTTACATGTCCTTTTCCCCCCTTGGATCCATCTACCATCCAACGCCCGCCGAGATAGATGAACACAGGAAAGGGGTATCGCTTTCCAAGATCAAAGGAGAATCAAGGTCAACGTACACCCCTAAGAGAATTTATCATTCAATATTCAATATTCTGGAGGCCTTTTTGGTGTAAAACTGATCTAAAAGAAGATGGTAGAAGGGGGGTATTCAATAACAGGAGGAGGAGGATTGGATGACTTTTAAGCAAATATGACCATGGGGGCGTTCACACTTCTACTGTATTGACATGGAATTTCCTTGTCTGTTGTAACTGTGCATAAATCCATAATCAATAGTCAATAATTAGTCGAACAACTTACTTTCATCATACTCATAGTTTGGTACGTACCGACAGAAATTGAAATTGAAGAATGATATTGATAAACTCAAATCAAATTGCACTGAAGAAGAAAGACGAATCAGGGGGTACAAATGAGAAAGAGAGAGGGAGAAAGGGAGAAAGGGATGGAGGGAGGGAGAGAGGGATGGAGGGAGAGAGAGAGGGAGGGAGGGATGGAGGGAGGAATGGAGGGAGGGAGGGAGGGAGGGAGGGAGGGAGGGAGAGAGGGATGGAGGGAGAGAGAGAGGGAGGGAGGGATGGAGGGAGGGAGAGAGGGATGGAGGGAGAGAGAGAGGGAGGGAGGGATGGAGGGAGGAATGGAGGGAGGGAGAAAGGGATGGAGGGAGGGAGAGAGGAATGGAGGGAGAGAGAGAGGGAGGGAGGGATGGAGGGAGGAATGGAGGGAGGGAGGGAGGGAGGGAGGGAGGGAGGGAGAGAGGGATGGAGGGAGAGAGAGAGGGAGAAAGGGATGGAGGGAGGGAGAGAGGGATGGAGGGAGAGAGAGAGGGAGGGAGGGATGGAGGGAGGAATGGAGGGAGGGAGGGAGGGAGGGAGGGAGAGAGAGAGAGATAGTAGAGAGAGAGAAGGGCCAGCTGCATCACACAAATGACGACTTGTTAATATCATAATGTGAACGAGCCCGGCACTTTGGGCCTAATTGTACTTAATGCCAGAAAACGCAATACTTAAAATATTATCTGATGTTTGAATCTAATTGCTTGCTGCCTGTTGAGAATACCATTACACATCCTTTGAAGCATTTTATGCAAATTGTGTGATTATCACAATTTCAATTTTGCTGTACTTTAAAAAATTAGAGATTGCTTTCCCTTCATTGATTGTGCATTTAGATTTTCTCCCATAAAGATTGTGTTTACTGATAAGCTGCTATCCCTGACATTGAGCAAAAGAAGGAGAAGTCAAAGAAGAACATTAAGATAGAAAGAGAGAGAGAGAGAGAGAGAGAGAGAGAGAGAGAGAGGGGGGAAGGGGGAGAGAGGAAAAGAAAGAAAGTAGAACAGGATAAATAAGCAGAAACAAAGTAGAAGGAGGAAAAAAGATGAAGAATAAAATAAGAAAAGGAAGAAGAAGAAGAAA